ATTAACGTTTCACCTTCCTTTCTGTCACTGACATATTGTTATGGCTCACTGACTAGAGAGGGGACTGTTTTGTGATTCATATTGCCTATTCCTCTACTACCCTGTCTCAACAGTGCCAGCCCTTTTGTGGGACTCTAGGTTCCCAAGGTGTTTAAACCCCATGGCTGAGCTAACCTGTCCTTTTTGTAGCTGCTGGATCAATGCCTGGCACCAGACACTTCGGGGGATGGTACTGGGTGTGACAACATGACCTGCATCATCATCTGCTTTAAGCCCCGAAACACAGCCGAACTCCAGTCAGAGAGCGGCAAACGGAAACTCGCGGAGGTGCTCTCTGAGGGCTCTGAAGAGAATGGCAATAGCGACAAGAAAGCGAAGCGGGACTAGCAGTCATCCAGACTCATGTCTACCTAGACTGTTTTCTGAGCCCTCCGGACCCAAGACTGAGTTTTGTCTTTTTCCTTTAGCCTTAGCAGTGGGTATGAGGTGTGCAGGGGGAGCTGGGTGGCTTTACCTTGGCCCATTTCAAAGAGGGCTCTTCCTCCACACAGCAGCCTGGGAGCCTCTGCTGTCCTTCCCAGCCTCCTCCTTGCTCCTTTGGGCTCATCACCGGTTCTGTGCCTGTGCTCTGTTGTGTTGGAGGGAAGGACTGGCGGTTCTGGTTTTTACTCTGTGAACACTTTATTTAAGGACATTCTTTTTTATTGGCGGCTCCATGGCCCCCGGCCGCTTGCACCTGCTCTCTGTTGTACACTTTCAATCAACACTTTTTCAGACTAAAGGCCAAAACCTAATCGTGCCCGTGGTGTGCTTATTTTCTGTTGCCCTGGCCCCGGCATCAACCACACGGGGGAGCATCTAACGAGCTTCTCCCTGTCTGTGCGTCACCGGCGCCTGGGTAGAGGACGGACCTGGGGCTGCAACTCGAGCGAGCGGCTGTCTGGCAGGCTAGCTGTACTCGCACAGCCCCTTCGCCTCCTGGAGTCAGGATTGACTTCCTAGTTCCTCCTGGGAGGAAGCAAGGAGGTGCCTGCCTGGCTGGCCGGCTCGGTTCCTGCCGGTGTCGATTGGCTGGCCCGCTGTGCGTCACAATCACTTCCTGGTCATGGCCAGGCGCTCTTGCCGCTGCGCTTCCTGCGGACTACATGTCCCGTGCGGCTGTGCGGCAACGGAAGCGGAAGCGGGTACGGAGGTACCAGCTGGTCTTCGGAGGGGGTTACGGGGCTCCATGAATGGAAGCGGCGGCGGCGGCGGGAGCGGCCTGAGCTGGGCGCCGGGACCAGGGCCGGGGGCTGCCCAGGGCCTGTGCCGCTACATGGAGGCGGCCCGCGTGCCCTGAGAGCAAGGCCGGGCGGGCCGAGGTTGGAGGGGCGGGGCCGGGTGGCCGCGGGCCGGAGGCGCGTCGGGCTGGAGCCGGTCACGATGCCCCGAAGGAAGCAAAGCCACCCGCAGCCTGTGAAATGCGAGGGGGTCAAAGGTCAGGGGTTAGGGGTGTGAGGGAGAGGCAGGGGTGGGTTCAGTGGACTGGGCTCAGGTCAGGGTGGAGGGGGAGTCCTGAGGGATGGGGCCAGTCTTTTGGATTACTGGCTTTCCACGGAGGTACTAAGGGAGCCAGAGACCGTCAACGAGTACGGGAAGTGCGGTCCACGAGGGCTGGCTCTCTGGTCCGGATGATGGGCACAGCTAAGGAGAGAGAGTCCACAAGCCCCCTTTCCTCTTCAGTGGATGCTGAAGACTCCCTCGACGAAGGACCCGGGGCCCTGGTGTTGGAGAGTGATTTGCTACTAGGCCAGGATCTGGAGTTTGAGGAGGAAGAGGAAGAGGAGGAGGAAGAAGGTGACGGCAACAGCGACCAACTCATGTGCTTTGAGAGAGACTCTGAAGGTAGGTTTAATGGGTCTTGATTAAGAATTCGTGGCCGCTGGGTACCCTAGTCCTTTAGAAGGCAGGTTAGGTTAAGTATCAGTGCCCATAACACCATTTCCTCCCACAACTTAGGGCGTAATGGCCAGATCAGCTCCATCACTTTGTCCAGGTGAAGTTCTGGGGCCTCGTCCAATGTGACATAAAGAGGAGGGAGGATGAATTACATGGAGCAGCAAATTAAAACTTAAATGCCCTTTTTATAACCTTCTTTCCTTCCCTAGCCCATTCTTGTGTGTGTGTGTGTGTGTGTGTGTGTGTGTGTGTGTGTGTGTGTGTGTGTACGTGTGTGTACTTTTAAGAGGTCCAGGGAAGCAATCCCTCTGTCGATGACTGATTCAGGCTAGTCCTTAGGTCTGCTCGCCTTGTCACCTGTAGCATAAGCTCCTTTTGCATTGAGAGGTTGTAGTTTCTGCCCTTAAGTATCCTTCCTCATTCCTGCTCCTGTGATCTCAGCATTGCCCTATCCTAATCTGCCACATTGCCTACCCACTTAGGCTTTTCAAAGTCATTGAGAACCCATGTAAAGAACCCATGCCTTTAGGCATAACATTATTGGAGCTAGGAATGTTTTTCAGTAATACTATTTTGCCTAGTATGCACAAAGTTCCCAGCTCTGGAAAAAAAAAAACACACACACAAAAAGCAGAACTCTCATTGTTTGTACTTCCCTCCAAAATTTGGTTCTCTCTTGAAATGGGTTTTGTTTTATAATCGACACTTTACCTTAGAAACAGGTCTCGGGGTCCCTGTGCCTTTTGTGTTTCTACTTTCTCATTCCGAGAATTTGTTGATTCATTTCAATTTGTAGTCCACTCAGCCCCTGCAACTAGTTAGAGCTCAACTCTACTGTCACTTGGTTAGTGCAGGCTCAGAGGTGGACAATTCATGTTTAATTTGTGGAGTCACTGTAGGGGAAACTTCAGTGGGAGAGAACTAAAGGAATCATCAAAAGTAAAAGAAAGCGGGCTGGGGATTTAGCTCAGCGGCACAAGAGGTCCTGAGTTCGATCCCCGGTACTGGAGAAAAAAAAAAACAAAAAAGGAGAAAGGTAGGGCCAAAGAAGCGCAGCCAATTATGTGAAAACAGGAGTTTGGAGTCTCACTGATGTTTCTTCTCGTGTGTGTGTCACCAGGAGACTCTATTGGGGCCAGGCCTGGGCTTCCCTACGGGCTGAGCGACGATGAGTCTGGGGGCGGCCGGGCGCCAAGCGCCGAAAGTGAAGTTGAGGAGCCAGCCAGGGGTCCAGGGGAAGCCAGGGGTGAGAGGCCAGGCCCAGCCTGCCAGCTGTGTGGGGGGCCGACAGGTGAGGGGCCGTGTTGTGGGGCAGGAGGGCCGGGTGGGGGGCCCCCGCTGCCCCCACGGCTACTGTACTCATGCCGCCTCTGCGCCTTCGTGTCCCACTACTCGAGCCACCTGAAGCGGCACATGCAGACACACAGCGGGGAGAAGCCGTTCCGCTGTGGCCGCTGCCCCTACGCCTCAGCCCAGCTCGTCAACCTGACACGACATACTCGCACCCACACTGGCGAGAAGCCCTACCGCTGTCCCCACTGCCCCTTTGCCTGCAGCAGCCTGGGCAACCTGAGGCGGCATCAGCGTACCCATGCCGGGCCCCCCACTCCTCCCTGCCCAACCTGTGGCTTTCGCTGCTGTGCTCCACGACCAGCCCAGCCTCCCAGTCCCACAGAGCAGGAGGGGGCTGTGTCCCGGCGACCTGAAGGTAAAAAGCAAGGGACTAATGATCATGGTACATGGTGGGTGGCACTTGCGATATTTAGATCAATAGCCCAGATCTTTGTTCCCACAGATGCTCTGCTCCTTCCAGATTTGAGTCTTCACGTGCCACCAGGTGGTGCCAATTTCTTGCCAGACTGTGGGCAGCTGCGGGGTGAAGGGGAGGGCCTTTGCGGGACTGGATCAGAACCACTGCCAGAACTGCTGTTTCCTTGGACCTGTCAGGGCTGTGGACAAGAACTGGAGGAGGGTGAGGGGAGTCGGCTGGGAGCTGCCATGTGTGGGCGCTGCATGCGAGGAGAGGCTGGGGGGGTTGCCAGTGGGGGACCCCAGGGACCCAGTGACAAAGGCTTTGCCTGTAGCCTCTGCCCCTTTGCCACACACTATCCTAACCACCTGGCCCGGCACATGAAGACACACAGTGGTGAGAAGCCCTTCCGCTGTGCCCGCTGTCCTTATGCCTCAGCTCATCTGGATAACCTGAAACGGCACCAGCGTGTCCACACGGGAGAGAAGCCCTACAAGTGTCCCCTCTGCCCCTACGCCTGTGGCAACCTGGCCAACCTCAAGCGTCATGGTCGTATCCACTCTGGTGATAAACCTTTTCGGTGTAGCCTTTGCAACTACAGCTGCAACCAGAGCATGAACCTAAAACGCCACATGCTGCGGCACACAGGCGAGAAGCCCTTTCGCTGTGCTACCTGCGCCTATACCACAGGTCACTGGGACAACTACAAGCGCCACCAGAAGGTGCATGGCCATGGTGGGGCAGGAGGGCCTGGCCTTTCTGCCTCTGAGGGTTGGGTCCCAACTCACAGCCCACCCTCTGTTTTGAACACTCGGGGTTCAGCAGCCCTAGGTGCTGCTGGTAGCCGAGCTCTCCATATGGACTCACCTTGAAACCAGGTCCTTTTTCCCCAGGGCCCTATGGATTAGCCTTGCCCCTCCTACATTTTATACAGACGACCAGAAGCTACCTTCTTCCTCCCCCGCTGGCCAGGGGCTCCACACAGACTAACCTAGGCGCTATATGGACCAGCCTAAACCCCTGGGCAGGGGCCCATATGGACCAGGGGGCCTTGCCTTTACTGATGCACTTCATGAGCTCAGTGAGAAGGGCCTTGTATTCACCTCCACTGCTCCCAGGGGCTGTGGATGAAGTGGCTGGGGGACTGCCCAGCCTCTTACTTGTTTAACTTATTTCAGTGCTTTATAATAAAGGAGACACTAACAAAGCCATGTCTATGCTCAATTGGCGATGGCAAGCAGTTTGCCTCCCCTTAGCACAGCAGACCATACTGTGATGAGGCAGCAAGGCCAGTGAGCGGGAACCAGAGGGAGGCAGCAGTCAGGCTGAGTTTAATGATGGGGAACTGGGCCAGACCATACACAGACCTGCCCATCCCCTTGCCCATGGCCCCCAGAAGCCAGAAGCAGCCCAGGGGGGAGCTGTGGTTCCTCCCCAAGGCAGGTACCCATGGTCCCTTAGACTTTGTGCAAAATACTAAATGTTAATTTGGCATTGAGGGCCAGCTGTGAAAAAGGGGGTGATTCTTTGTGCAGCCAGCCCAGGGTGAGAGGGAGGTGGGTTAGGTGGCCCCTGGCCAAGAGGAGAAAAGGGGTGGTTCGGTAGGAAGAGAGAAGGAAAAGACTCCCCCTAGCTTGGGGGCTACAGGCACAGGGCAAGTTTCTGTAAATTCCTCTGGGGTAGAGGGTGGACATCCAAGCAGTGGGAATTACAGATCCTCATCTCCAATGCCCTCGAAGGCGAAATTGCCGTGGACATCACTGGCACTGGCATCTGTGCTGGGACTGCCAATTCCCCGCAAGCTCACAGCACTCAGCTTACTCTGCAACACAGGCAGGGTAGATGTCAGAAGGCTCGCACCTGTGAGGCCTCTACAGACACCAACCTTGCCACCCTGTAACTCACTGAGAGTTTGACCATGGACTCCCGGCTGGCATCAGGTGACTCCTGGGGAAGAGGAGCAGAGGTGTCAGAGACTCACTGGAGAGGCAAGGCAAAGCTGAGAGCCAGGGTACTGATTGGAGGTGATACTTACAAGCAGTGGTGGAGACTTCACTGCTTGCTGGCTGTCTGAGCGTCTCAGGGTACCTCCCATGCGCCTGCGCAGCATCTAGCAATGGACACAAAACACTAATGAGAGCAGGATCACTCCCTTTTGGATCTTCATTATTTCCCCTCTTCTGAAGAAAAGCTTGGCCCCTAAGACAGAAGTCAGGAAGAGCACAATCACTCAGCTGATGAATCCCTGCTTGTTGCTTACCTTCCTTATACTGCCCCCTGATTTCTTCACCATCAGTTCATCTACCATGGACTGCAAGCAGATGCTCATCATGATAGCCTGAGGGCAAGAAGAGCTCAGGGTCATCCAGAGCCCAGCACCCCTCAGACAAGCACTCCCACTCACGTGGAATGCTGGAAGCCCTAGACTTGGATATCCAGGGGGCTCCAGAGGAGGCCTGAAGGTGGGCTCACACCTGGGGGCTGGTGATGGTGACCCACTGTAGCCGGTCCTTGCTCATGAGGTATTCAAAAGCCAGTTCCAGGCGCACCTCACCGCGGCCCCGGCCTGGGCTATTCGTACTTCCGCTGGGCAGCGGCACCTAGGAGAGGAAGGGAATTAGACTGGGTTCATTTTGGTCTATCTGCCTTCCCTTCTGACCCACTGCAGCCCACTTTTGAAGCTCAAGGCTTTGACAGACTTCTACCCCAGAAGGCCCCCCAACTCTACTCACAGAGGAGGTGACCCGCCAACATCGCATGCGGGTGACCCGGAAGGAGCCTTCACGAAGCTGCTGGCCAGGCAGGCGGAGCTGAAGGCTGAGCTCACTGTTGCCTGCACTCACCACCACAGGACAGTCCTTCTCTGGGAAGTCAGCCACACAAGCATCAAAGCGCAGGTAGCCATAGTGGCGCAGAGTTTGGGCCAGACGCAGGAACTAAAAAATGGTCACGTGTTGTGTGTTAGGAGGGAAGTAGGTTGGCTCAGATAGCAACCCTTTGGAGGGAACAGCAAAGCAGGGCTCACCTCCTTCTTGGAGACCTTCTCTTGTAGAGATTTGAGCTGTCGGTGCTGCTCTTTAGTGACCAGGATCCACCCACGCTCAATGTCTGATACAGTCTACAGTGAAGGCAGGGTGAGGTGGGGGGGAGGTTCCCTGTCAGTGGCTCCGGGAGTGTCCATAGTTAGCTCTGACTAGCCTGACCCTAGCTGCACATTTGAGTGACCTCTGCAGTGAGACTTTGACCTTACTGGCTTACAAAGTAGGGAGAGTAGAGGCTGTGCTGGGAGCCCTGACAATATTCTAGTAACTTCCCCTTGAACTGGGAACAAGGACATGAAAGGCGTTTTCCTGGGAGAATGGGAAGTGTGTCATCTTTAAGGCAAGGGTTCTGAGGCAGCTCCAAGCTCACCTGAGCATAAAGCAGGTTCAGGCCAACCCGGTTCTCCATGACATCGTCATCATAGGCAGAGTCCCAATAACTGCGAGGCCAAGGGGTGGAAAGGGGTAATGGGGCTAAGCTGGGGTAAGACAAGAGGTAGAATGGAAAAGGGGCAAAATAGGAGCAATCTGGAACTATGAGGGGTAATGGTGACATACGGGAGGAAGCCTGGGAGGCCTGGTAGAAACACCCAGCACTACTCCCCCTCTTTCAAATTATTCTGTCTCAAAATGTGGTCTAATAATCCAACCCAGCACCCTCCCCCTCTTTCAGGCACAGCCCTAACCTCTTCCTTAGCACAATCTTATACTCTTGACTCCGAAGACTGGTAACAGACACATAAGGCAGCTCAAACTCTTGCAACTTCCGTACAACTATAGGTTAAAACAAAATAAAAAAACCAAAAAAAGGAAAATATAATGAGACTCCAAACGAAGAAAAAAGCACCCTGAGGAAATGTACCAATCCAAGGGGAGACAGAGATAGAAATTCACTACTGGGAGGCATAGTGAAGTAATAAAGTCCATAGGAACTCACAAGAAAAGGCTCCATCCTCTTTTTCTCTAACAAGGAAGAGACTGAAGTATCCGATCAAGTCATCTGGAAGATCCAGCTTTGCAGCTACAGCCTGGAAACAGGAAGTACAGCTCATCCTACTGGCTGGCGCCAATTCCCCCACAAGCCCCACGTGGGTGCAGGGGAAGTGCTGAACAAGCACCTCACCTCCAGGACATCCTCAGTCTGATCCGAAGTTAGCACATTGACCAAAACTTTCTGCCCATTGCTGAGCAGCACTTCCAAGGAGACCTCCTCTGTGGGGACCTGCTGTGTCTCCTGTGTGCATACAAGGATGGGCAGGCAGTCCTTTGTTAACAGCAGCCTAAGGTCCATTTCTGACTTATGTCCAATTCTATTTCTAGTGCAGTGATGGCAGAGCTTTTAGAACTTCCATAACAGCCTGCTTCCGCATGCAAGCCACAGGATTGCCACTACTGCTCTAGTGTCTTCATTCTCAACTGCTTATATACAGACTGGGCTAGACATGGTGTTGGATGCTAATAATTCCAGCATCCTGAGAACCCAAGGCAGGAGGATCACAAGTTTGAGCCCAACTTGGGCAACTTAGTGATTTAGTAAGACCCTCTCAAAATTTAAAAAGGCTGGGAGGTAGCTTAGTGTGAAGGTCCTGGATTTAATCCTCAGTACCACAAATAAAACAATACAGGCTGGGCTTTCCTTTACTTAAGTGTTACAGCAAAAGCCCCACTCCATAAAAAACGCTGCCAGAAAAGTGGGCTGTGGTGAAGTGGGGTGTGGTGGCACATGCATATAATTCCAGCACTTGGGAGGCTGAGGTAGGAGGATCGACAGGAGTTCAAGGCCAGTCTGAATTACAGAGTAAGACTGTCTCAAAAAAGTAAGGACTTCCTCTGTACCATCATTAAAATGACATGGTCCTCCAGCAGGTCTTTCCCTTAAATCTGGTTGTCACCCAAAGCCTTACCTGCTGTGCCCGACGCAGGAAACTATTGAAGGTCTCACTGCTCCCAAGCAATGGGTCTTGCCGAACTGCGAGGACAAGAAAATGACGTTCTAGTAACCTAAGAGTTACTCTTGGCTTCCCCCAGTCCTCCTCTTAGTAGGCTCCCCCCCACCCCATTTCCTGGGCTGATGGTGGCCTGCCACATCTCCCAGCTGGCCTCACCTCACTCACTGTTTGCATAAATTCTTCACCTGCCCCACCCTTGGCTGCCATCTAGTTGAGTCCAGTCTATAGCACTAGGGAAATAACAATGATGTTAATCTAAAGCACATGAGATACAAATTAAGTTCTTCCCACCAATCTAAACTGTTTTAAGACTTAGTGTTATACTAGTATTTCTCATAGATGTTAGTGCTCAAATTGCTTTGCTAATACACAGTTACAAATCCTTTCAGACTATTTATTTTGCTAATTAAATAACAGGTCAGTAAGTGGATTCCCAGATCTAGAAATTAATGTAGGACCTTCTATAGAGCCAGCTGTTTTTAATCTCTCCCCATAGTCCTGGAAATGTTCTAAAGTTCCTCCAACCACTCACCAGCTTGCATGTACTTCTCTAACTGCTCTCTCCTCTGTTCTACCTCTGCAGGTGTCAGAGAGAAAAGCTTCTTTGGGGGGAATGCAGGAAGCACATTTGCCCCATACTCCTTCCGAAGCTACATAGAGAAAGAAATACAACCTTTCAAATAAACACAGAAAATGAGGAAGCAATCGAGACTCAGTGTTCATCTGGACTCCCTTGTCTACCTGTCATCTGGGAAACAATAACTTTGGTAGGGTTAGCATCTCAAGGGAACTGCCTCCCCCCTTTTTTAATTGTTTGGTTTTTTGAGACAGGATCTCTCTATGTAGTTACAGCTAGCCTTGAACTCATTAAATAGCCCAGGCTAGTCTCCAGCTACTGGTGATCCTCCTGCCTCACCCTCCCAAGTGCTGGGATTACATGCATGCACCACCATGCCCGGCAAAGGGAACTGCTTTAGATATCTAAATTCTTTTTATTTTAGTGTGGGCAAGGCGGTCCCTCCACAGTGTGGGGAGGATGTGTATGAGGCCAAGACCTGTAGGGAGCCCCTGAAGTATTTAACAGAACTGTTCACTGAACTCTCACAGGAAACAGCTTTATAGGGAGTGTTTATCTGAACATATAGTTAAGTATGTTCACAAAGTATCTTAGAACTTAAAGGGACTTTGCAGATCAAGGAATCCATTTTTCAGCTGTAGATACTGAGGCCCAAGGAAATTAGGTAATTTCCTCAGCGCTGCACAACTAATTATCAGTAGAACCAGGACTGCATCTGAGTTAAAGACAGTGTTCACCATCTGGTGAGGAAGACAGAGAAACATTACATCACAGATACATAACAATAACTGGAACAGCTACACATACTGAACTGAGCCAAAGAACACACAAGGAAATTGGTGAATGATTTTTATAAGCGGGGAAAAGAATTCAAGTTGCAGGTCACATGGCAGAGGAATGTGTTTTGGCAGATTGGGAGGATTAGGTTTTTCCATGCAAGGGCAAAGGGTGAAAGTGCAGATACAACGCTAGGAAAATACAGAAAGGAGGATGTGAGTACAGGAAGGAGCGGTAATTGTGGTAGACATTCAGCTTCTTAGGGAGTTCCCCGGAAATGTCAGAGGATAAGATAAAACACTACCCTCCTCTGTGGCCGTGATTAAAGGGTTACGTGATGAGAGGAAAAATGGAGATAGATGCCCATGTGCAGGAAAGGGATTAAAGCTGCCTCCAGGCAGGGGTGCTAGTCCCACCTGCTCGTGCAGCCCCAGAAGCTGGCTGTAGCGAACCCGACAGTGCAGGACTCCATTCACGTGAATGTTATAAGCCTGAGGATACAAAAGCAGGAAAACATTTCAGGGTGGCAGTCAGAGCTACCGCTCTGAAAAAACCCAGCCGGAAGTTGACGGGCTCAGTTCTGTGCGAAAAACACGCCGAGATCTCTCAAGGGTTAGGTAGCCTGTCTTTCCCAGGTTCAAGTCCCAAAGCAGAGGGGGCAGTCCTGGGGACACTCGGGAGCTCGTGCTGTAGTTTCCTTCCCCGAGCGGCCAGTGACTCCCACTAGAGCCGCGGCCTAGCTAAGCAACCGCCGAACAAAGGACCTCTTAGAGGATCGACTTCTGTACAAATCTGACACATGAGATACGCTGCAGCGAGGCGGCAGCCCAGGATCAGGCCTGAACGATAGCAGCTGGGCCTAGGAGGCCTCTCCCAGGGTTTCGGCCCGTTATCCCCGCCCCGGCCCGTCCAACTCCTGCGGCTCCTCACCACGTAGGCGGAGCCGCCGCTGTCCCCGCTGCGGGACTCGGTTTCAGGAATGGAAAAGTGCATGATCCCTACGGCAAGGCCCACTCAGGTTCCGGACTGTAAGGGCCGCGGCGGCTCGGCACGTTCGCCTCCGCTGTTCAGGGCGTCCCCGCAGCCTCATTCGCCATTTTGGGGGGCCTGAGATCGAGGTGGGAAGGTGGTAGAACGTCGGTTCTGGGCGCGGTGACCTCGGCATGCTGGGAACTGTAGTCAAGAGCGAGAAGAGACTCTCGGGACTGGAAGTCTAAAGTAGCGAGACAAACCTCATCGCTATCCGTAGTTGGGGCGGGGCCCAGAGCACGCTGGGAGTTGTAGTTCGCCCGATGCTGCGCGAAGTGGGTGTATGTGGTGGAGCCTCCAGACCAGGCGGCGCTGTAGTCCCAGTGACCTCCGAGCAAGGCACTGGGACTGCCCAGTGACTGCGGCGGGCGGAGCCTAGGACGGAGAGTGATGGCTGCTGTGGCTGTGGCTGTTCGTGAGGGTGAGCGAAGGGTTGGACGAACCAAGTCCTACAGGATCCGATGAGCTCCGGACTGCTTGTGCTTGAGCTCATTTGGGCCTTAGGGTTGCGTTCTGGCTCCACGCCAGACTCTGGTTTACTGTCTCCGGCGCAGCCCGGCGCCTCGCACCAACTGTTTCCCTGGTGAAGGGTGGGTGACCCCTCCTTTCTCCTTTCCCCGCCTGTCCTTTGATCCTGCCGCGCAGTGCGTCCCCACGCGGATCCTTGGGTCGCTTCGCACCCTGCGGCGAATCGGTGGTCATGCCGACCCAGCAGCCAGCTGTGACCAGGAGGCCACCTAAGGCTTCCCGGAGCCTCTCTGGTTCACTTTGTGCACTGTTTTCTGATGCAGACTCGGGATCAGGGATGAAGGCGGAGCTGTCTCCTCGACCTGGGGTAAGTGAAGGTTCCCTCCCCAGCCGCCTATCAAACGCTACGCAGGAAGCTCTGTCAGTTCATTTAGTCCATTTCCCATCCCGTTTCCGTTTATTTCTCAGGAAAGCCGAGAAATTTTAGAGTCTAATGATATGTGACTTAGATCCTGGAAGAGAAGCTTTCATCCCTGTAGGATGTAAGTTTGTAATAGGTAACATGAGGATGTTAGAAAGGATTAGGGATTTAACCATGTGGGAATCTTGTAAGCCAACAGTGTTGATTCACCTTTGGAATTGTTGGAGGCAGAGCAGTGTCCTATGCCTTTGTCTCAGGTAGCAGGGAGGGAGATGACCCAAGAAGAGAAGCTGCAGCTTCGGAAGGAAAAGAAACAGCAGAAGAAGAAACGGAAGGAGGAAAAAGGGACAGAACCAGAAGTTGGCTCTGCTGTAACTTCAGCCCATTGTCAAGGTTCGAGGTCTTTTTGAAAGGGCTGGGATGTGGAGCTGGTGGATGGATGTGGTGGGAGAGGCAGGACAAAGTTGGCTTGAGCAAGTGAAAAAAAGTGACGTGGTTTAAATAAACCAATAGTCAAGCTTTGGCTGGAGCAGAAATAGCACCTGCCTGAAACTTCAGCACCTCTTCCTTCTACTAGTGAGAGAACTGCCAGGACCCAGCAGGCAGTTGGAGGGCACTCCTGGTGAGAAAGTTCCAGGTGGTCGGAGTAAGGCTGAACTTCGTGCTGAGCGTCGGGCCAAGCAGGAGGCTGAACGGGCCCTGAAACAGGCAAGGAAAGGGGAGCAAGGAGGGCCACCTCCTCAGGCCTGCCCCAGCACAGCTGGAGAAACCCCCTCAGGTATATCTTCCCTTCATTTCAAAACCTCTGTTTCTTGTGCCAGAGTAAAATTTTTCCCTTTCCATTTTCATTTTCGAACCTAGAGTTCAAAATTTTTCCATCAACCCCACTGTACCCCTAGTTCTTGTTCTACTCAATCTTCCCTAACCTCTTGCCCCTGTCCTATATTTTCTTTCTTTTTCTTTGATGTTTTTTGAGACAGGGTCTCGCTATACAGTTCAGGCTGGCCTTGAGCTCACTTTGTAGCCTAGGCTAATCTTGAACTCACAGCAATCCTCCTGCCTCCACCTCCTGAGTGCTGGGGATTATAGGCGTGTGCCACCACGCGCAGCTTGTCCTATTTTTCTTGATTCTCCCTATCCCCTAGGAGCAAATTACCCACCTCTTGAGACTTACTGTCTTGAAAACGTGACTACTATCTTTTAGGAGTGAAGCGTCTCTCAGAGCAAACTCAGGTTGATGACCCCACACTTCTGAGGAGTCTTATTAAAAAACCAGAGCGACACCAGGTAAGAACTGGGTAAAAGCCTAGAGAGGGAAGAAAATTGCTCAGAGCAAAGTGAGACCTTGGAGAAGGATGGGTATTTGGGGCACAGCGGTCTCATTCTGTACTTGTTTTCCAGCTTCCTCCCACAACTTTGGGCCATTGATCATATTCTTTCTTTTGTTAAGGTTCCTACCCGAAAGGATTATGGATCCAAAGTCAGTCTCTTCTCCCACCTACCCCAGTACAGCAGACAAAACTCCTTGACCCAGTACATGAGGTACAAAATTGTCATAACATCTAAGTCTGAGGAGGTGTAGTGACTTAGTATTAGCCATTACCTGTCCAGTTATTTAAGTACAAATTGACTAAAAATTGCATTTTTTCGTAATTTTTATAAGATAGGCTGGGAATATAGCTCAGAGGCACAAGTGCCTGCCTGGCAAGCGTAAGGTCCTGAGTTCAATTCCTGGTACCAAAAAAAATTTTTTTTTGTAAGATAACAGGAGATATAAAAATGATAATTTTATCAAATTTATCCAATATAAGAATCAAGTGGTTGAAATGACACCTGCCAGAGCAATAGTATGTAAACAAACATGCTGCCTGTGTGTTGCTGTTAAGTGGTTAAAAGTGACTAGAGCTGGGCATAGTGGTGTGTGCCTGTAGTCTCAGCATCAGGGGAGGCTGAGGCAGGAGGATTATTTCAAGTTTCAGGCCATCCTGGGCTACCTAGTGAGGGTGAATTGAAAGCCAGCCTGAACTACATTGTGAGGCCTTGTCTCAGTAAATAAAAGCAACTGGAAATTTGAGATGGACTCTCTGGGAAGAAATATGAACTTGAGGCAAAATTTTAGAGGAAATGGGGCAGTCTGTTCTAGTAAAAGAAGTTCCTTTTCTGTGGGAGGGAGGGGGAAGCACTAGGTAAGCAAGTTTCCTTGCAAAGTATGTGACACTGCCATCCCATCAGCATCCCATCCTCTGTGATCCACCCAGCCATGGTGCGACTCGGCCTGCAGTACTCCCAGGGCCTGGTCAGTGGCTCCAATGCCCGGTGTATTGCTCTGCTTCGTGCCTTGCAGCAGGTATGCCCTGTGTTCTTCTTTTATGGCCCCACCCCACCTCCCCAATACTGCCCCAGCTTCTCACCCAAGGTCAATCCTTAGGCAAAGAGGGAATGACTCCTACCCTCAGAACACTTTCCTCAGTGCAACTCCATCCCCCTTTCAGAGACCTTTATCAGGGGCATTTGGTTGATCAGTCTGTGTGCTCCATAGGTGATTCAGGATTACACAACCCCTCCCAATGAGGAACTCTCAAGGGATCTTGTGAATAAACTAAAACCTTATATCAGGTAAGAAAAGCCACAAATTCCTTCCTAGCTCACCTAGTCCTTTTCTGGTACTCTTGTTCTTTTCTCTTTTTATTTTCCTGTTCTCTGTGTTTAAAAAAATTTTTTTCCTTTTTTTTTTTTTTCGGTTTTTCTTTGAGTCAGAGTCTTGCTGTGTAGCTCAAGCTGCCTTGAACTCACTATGTATCCCAAGCTAGCCTTGAGCTTGTGATGATCCTACCTTGGCCTCCTGAGAGCTAAGGTTACAGGCACCTGCCACCATGCCCAGCTTAATTTTTTTTTTTTTTTTAATGTGCTAGTTTAAATTGTAAGGAGCTGTACAAACAGTAAGTATTGTTGTTGTAGCTTCCTGACTCAGTGTCGCCCCCTGTCAGCAAGCATGTACAATGCCATCAAGTTCCTTAACAAGGAAATCACTGCTGTGAGCAGCTCCAAGCGGGAAGAGGAGGTGAGTAGGGGGAATGGGAGAAGCGTACACTGTGGTTAGTGTTAAGCAGCATGTTCAGAATTCCCAGAAGACAGCACATGCCATTCTACCCCAGGTGAGGATTAAGGAAGTAGTTGGGCACTCTGACTTGTACCACCCTTGGGTGCCCTTCAGGTCCATCATGCTAACAAATTCAAGCATCTTGCATAGTAGTCAGAGGAAGAAATGTGTCTACTTCTTGTTCTCTAAACATCTTACTCCATGTAGGCCAAGACAGAACTTAGAGCAGCTATTGATCGGTACATACAAGAGAAGATTGTGCTGGCGGCTCAGGCAATTTCACGATTTGCCTACAAGAAGATCAGTAATGGAGATGTGATCCTGGTGTATGGATGGTATGGCCCAATTGTATGACCCAATTGTATGACTCCAATTGGGGAGTGGGCTGATCAGAAGAAAGGACCATGCCTTTGCATTGGTTAATGAGCAGGCCACCACTTAGTGCCTTTTATGACTGAGTCTCCTCTCCATCCGCTGTAGCTCATCTCTGGTATCACGAATTCTTCAGGAGGCTTGGAATGAGGGCCGGAGGTTTCGGGTGGTAGTGGTGGACAGTCGGCCCTGGCTGGAAGGAAGGCACATGCTACGTTCTCTGGTCCATGCTGGCGTCCCTGCCTCTTACCTGCTGATTCCTGCAGCCTCTTATGTGCTCCCAGAGGTGAGGGCAGAGGAAAGGGACTCCACAACTGGACGTGAAAGGGTGTAATAACATAGACATATTTCTATATTCTTAAAGTTCACTTATTTTAAAATATTAGGATAATACAACCCTGTTTTTACTTAATAGGAAAAACACCTAAAACATGCTATATAGCACAGCTTAGCTATCACAAGAACTGTATATTAAACTTGCAGCCACCAAAAGGGTACAAAAAAAATAACTTCAAAATTTAGTTTTCTTATGGCATACTTGGTAGGTTAGGTGATTTCCAAGAAAAGCAGCCATCAAGATTTATTACTTGTCGGGCCAGGGATATAGCTCAGCAGCACAAGTGCCTGCCGGGCAAGTGCAAGGTCCTGAGTTTGATTCCTGGTACCAAAAAAAAACCCCAGATTACTTGTCACCGGGCGTGGTGATTTGCACTTGTAATACCTTCACTAGGGAAGAGGATCTCCACAAGTTCGAGGCCAGCCTGGACTATACAGTAAGACCCTGTCTCCAAAAATAAAGAAACAAACAATTTATTACTTGTTCTAATATTGCTCCCCTGGGCAGAAGTGGGGGACCTTATTCTACACTGATACATTATGACATATTTTTCCTTCCTGTCTAAAACAAACAGGTTTCCAAGGTGCTATTGGGAGCTCATGCACTTCTGGCCAATGGATCGGTGATGTCACGGGTAGGGACAGCACAGCTGGCCTTAGTGGCTCGAGCCCATAATGTGCCAGTGCTGGTCTGCTGTGAAACATACAAGTTCTGTGAGCGTGTGCAGACTGATGCCTTTGTCTCTAATGAGCTAGGTAAGCAAGGCAGAAGAGAACCTTCCTGAGAGCTGAGAATTGTGAGGGAGAGGGAGGTTAAAACCCTAACTTCTTTTAAAAAAACATAATGGGTCCCCCTCCCACTGCAGATGACCCCGATGATCTGCGGTGTGAGCGGGAAGATCATGTAGCCCTGGCTAACTGGCAGAACCACTCATCCCTGCGGCTGTTGAATCTGGTCTATGATGTGACTCCTCCAGAGCTTGTGGACCTGGTCATCACAGAGCTGGGCATGATCCCTTGTAGTTCTGTACCTGTTGTCCTACGAGTCAAGAGCAGTGACCAGTGAGGAGGAAATACAGGGTCAATAAATGACATACATCCTACCCTTAGCAACTCTGCTGCTTTTGTATCTTTTAACATGTCCACCACTTAAGTTAGGGGCTCATACTCCCCAGCCCGTCTCCTCACCTGCTGCTGAGGCCTTTGTGGAGACTCTCAGCTGAATAACTTTACACCAATGCTCTGGGGCCATGGTGAAGGTCCATATGGAGATCAAAACCTATCCAGATCTTCAGTCATTCTGAGTGTCTTATGGCAGACATTGATCTAGGTATGAGGAGGCCTCTAAGGATAAAAGCTCTGCTCTGAGTAATGTCAGTATTCACTGAGTACTTCTGTGTCCAAAACTATTCTGATCTCTTTTTTACCCAGTTAGAAAGATTTTATATATCATCTGCTTGTGGTGGTGCATCCCTGTAATGCCAGTACCTGGAAGGCTGAGGCAGGATTGTAAGGCCTGGGCTATATACCAAGATCAGGGTGAGCCTACATTCCATAGCAAAACCCTGCCTCAAACAAACAACAAAAGAGAGATTAATATATCTCTACCAAACAAATGAGATTTTACAGATGAGAAAACTGGAGGTACAGAGAGCTTAAATTGCTTGCCCGGGGTAACCACTAATCAACAGGTAGAATAGAATGTGATCATAGGCAATCTGAATCCATACACTTAACTTACAGGTCTTTTTATGTTACATGCCCTTAGAAGTATTAATCATAGAATAGGAAGACAAACATCTACAGTATGAGATACACTCTACTAGTATTATAAGCAAAATTCCTTCCAAATTAAGAATGATACCAGTCTAGCAAGAATGGTAAAGACTTCACAAGTAAGATCTGGGGCTGGGTGTGGTGATATACGCCTACACTCCCAGCACTAGGGAGGCTGAGGCAAGAGGATCTCTGAGCCTAAACTACATAGCAAGGCTGTCTCAAAAACAAAACAAAACAAAAAACCAAGAATTGAAGTAGTCTTTGAAAGGTAAGTAGTTTTCCAGTTAGAAAAAAAAAGCAGATCAGAAAAAATGGCTTGAACATTAATAGGCCTTAAAATGAGAGACCAATTTCAGAGTCAGTAGTGTCAGGGGGCTAAAACAGGCTTAATGTTAAGAGTAAGAAAATTCTAAAGGTAGTTAGGGCTAGATGGGGAGAATCTCACCACTGATTCATTTCAGAATGTTAAGTAATCCATTTTGTGTGCATCGATGTTTTATCAAAAAAATTTTTTTTCTTTATAAAGAACAAATTTATTTCTCACATAATCACTTTCCCCAAAATGTCTATTTTAAGACCATCACAATGAGATTTTCTTTTCTGTAAATTTTTAAAGTTTATTTTATTTATTTATTTATTTATTTTGTTTTTTTTTTCGGTACTGGGAATCGAACTCACGTCGTGCTTGCCAGGCAGGCACTGTGCTGCTGAGCTAAATCCCCAGCCCTTAAAGTTAATTTTATTGGTACTGTTTTGCTGTAATGATCACATTCATCATAGGGAATTTGTTCCTGTACATGATGTATCTTGATTTTTCTTTTTTTTCCCCGCTCCCTTCCCCTCCCTTCACACTTTCTTCCCCTCCCCACTTACAAAAGCTTTGTTTCCACTTTTCCTCTTTTATTTTTTTTTTTCCTTTTCTCTTCCTTCCCTTCTCCCTTGCTCCCCTTCCTATTTGAATATTTTCTTCGTACTTCCCAGTATGTGTCATCCATTTTGGCCCTTATTTATGCTTTTGGTTTCTCACACAAGAGAAATAATGTGATATTTAAATGTGTGAATGATTTATTTCACTTAAAAGTATGGTCTCAAGGTACAACCATTTACCTAAAAATGTCTGAAGTTTACCCTTTATGGCTGAGTAGTACTCCCATTGTATATAAAAACATCTTTATCTATTTATCCATTTATCCGTTGATGGGCATGTGGCCTGTTTCCAAGATTTGGCTATTACAGATTGTGCTGCTGTAAACATGGGTGTGCATATATTAATTGAAAATTTTCAGGCACTACAAAAGAGATAAAATTATATATACAATCTTTTATTAGATGCAACAATTTTTTTTTTTTTTTTTTGAGGCAGGTTCTCACTTTGTCAATCAAGCTGGTCTTGACCTATGTAGCCCAGGCTTGCCTCAAACTCACAGCAATCCTCCTGTCTTAGCCTCCTGAGTGGCAGGATCACAGGCTTGTGCCATCATACTTGGCTTAGATACAACAGTTTTCAAGATCTACATTTGCTTCTTTTTCCTTGCTGAAGTTACTTTGGAGCAAATCGCAGGCATACTGCTTCACTCTTATAGATATCTATAGACTTGAATGCATCTCTTAAGAAATACGTCAGTTCGTCAAAAAAAAAACCCAAAAAACAAAAAAAGAAATACGTCAGTTCACCATACTGCTATTATCATACTTTGTTTTTGTGATGCTGGGGACTGGGCCCAGGCCTTGTGCCTGCGAGGCAAGTGTTCTACGCAGCCCTCATTATCACACTTACTAAATAATACTTTCCAAAAACAAAATTACACTTTCGTAGTATTAGCCAGAGCATAATCCAATTTTTGTCTCAAAAGTGGCTTTTTATAGTTAGGTTTCTTTGAGTCAGATCCAAACAATTCCACTTATTACAATAGTTTATGTCTCTTGAAAAGCATGGTGGGGGTGTAGCTCAAAGGTAGAATGCATGCTTAGTATATATAAGGCCCTGGGTTCACTCTCCTGGGTTCACTCTCTTGAAAAGGCAGTCTCTTTCCCTCTTCTTTTCTCACATTAACTTGTAAAAACTAGGTCAATGGTTACTACAAAATGTCCCACATTCTGGATTAGAATATTTGCTTTCCTTGACTGTCACTGACTTCAGCCCTCTAAGCTCTATATTTGCAGGCAACTTTTTGGGTAACAATATTTAATAAGTTGTTCTCCGGGCTTTATGTGCCCTCTCACCTGGAGGCAAACCACGACTGGCTGTCTCATTTTCAGTGATGACTGGGTCCAGGCATTTTAAAGCTTTCCCCAAACCTTTCATTTAGTGGTTCCGTCCACCAGTGGTTGTTGTCTGAATAATTTCACCAGGAGATAAAAAATGCTAATTATTGTATCGTTCTTTAGTCTATCAAGAACTACCTCTCATCTGTTAGTTCTGAACTAGAGTTCATACTAGAAAAGCAGGATAAATGCTTGCTTTTGTCCTTTTATTTGTCATTTTTGGCAATTAGTCACTAGTTACTTCTGGTGGTTTACAATGAGCAGTTGTTAATTTTTTGGCTTTTCAAAAGATCACTATGAAGCCAGGCGTGGTGGCGCACGCCTGTAATACCAGCACTCAAGAGGCAGGAGGATCGCTGCAAGTTGGAGACCAGCCTTGGCTACAAAGTGAGCTCAAGGCCAGCCTGAACTGCATAGCGAGACCTTGTCTCAAAACGACAAAAAAAAAAAAAAAAAAAATCACTATGAACTCGTATGTTGAAAGTACCATTCAATCATCAAAATTAAGGGTCAGCTTTATACTTAAAGGATAAGTGGTAGAGATTAGAGGCAGAGAAATAGATCAGTTAAAAGATTGCTTTTCAGGGCTGAGGATTATAGCTCAATGGCAGAGCACGTGCCCAGAATGTACAAGGCTTTGATTCTGATCCCAGCACTGTGGCAGGTGTATGTGGTGGGGGGGTTGTCAAGCTATAAAGGCACCTAAACTTTGACCCAACAATATCACTTGTAGGAATTTATTCTGCCCATGCAGTTGTACATGTTTGAAATAATTTACATAGTTATTTATAGCAGCACTGAGCGCTGGATGTGGTGGCACACCCCAAAAGGAGGCTGAGACAGGAGGATCATCATGAGTTGGAGGCCAACCTGAGCTACATAGGGAGGCCCTGTCTCAAAAAAACTAAAATAATGAAAAATACAATTACTCATGTATATAAGAGATGTTTGCAATGGTGTAAATCAAAATAGCCTAATCTGAAACAGCAGGAATGAAGAGACATTTGTTCATTACCTAAGTAAAATGTTTAAAATAGAGCTGCCCATCACAGAAGCGTTTTGGAGCTAGCTAACATCTAAAAGAGGGAGAGATACCCATCCAAAATACTACTAGCCACTAAAGGAATGGTGGAATTAGGTGTCCTCCTCCTTCCTCTTAGGTCTCGCGTAATCTCTGCCATACCTTTCTTTCTTTTTTTTTTTTTTAAATTGAAAAAGACTGGGTGTCTATGTTGTCCAGGCTGGCCTCAAACTCCCGGGCTCAACTGATCCTCCTGCCTCAGCGTCCCTAAAGGCTAGGACTATAGGCGTGGGAGCTCAGCTTTCTTGCATATTTAAATTTAATAGGCGATATTTTCTGACTTATTCCACTGCTTCCTTTCCGTATTGATACACAGCACTCTCCTACTGGGTGAGTGGAAACCTGTGAAGCTTATATGGCTTTTAAATGCGTCAGGAAAGGACAGAAACTTGTTGCACTCTCTTTTCACCCCGTGCCACCCCCAACCAGTGAGGAATGAGTGGGGCAAGGATTCTGAGGAAGGCCGAGAGCGCAGCGTCCCCGCCCAGGCCTGGCTTTTCTACTCCTCTGCTCTTATTTCCAAGGTCCCTTTCATTGTCTTTCAGTCTCGGGTCCATCTCCGGTTTCACTAGCGGCAGGAACCGGTCTCATCCTTAGGGGGCGACGGCGGCGAGGGTTTTTTGGTGTCCGAGTCTCAATCTTGCCTAAGACGGCACAGGGTTGCAGTTAAGACTCTCACGGGCCTTCTGGCGCTGCACAGCGCAGGACTCGCAGTCTAGGAGGAAAGGCACAACCGGCGGGACGTGTAGGTGTCGACTTTCCCGACTTACAAGTCTCTGAGGGCCTCGCAGCGCCCCGCGCCCCGCGCGCGGAGCTCTGCCGCGTTGCATTATGGACCACAGAGCCTAAAGGAACGCGGAGTCGTGCCCCGACTCCAGGCCTACCGCTCCAGTTTACCTAGTGCCGCGGGTGGGGGCCAGAAGGAGCCGCTACACGATTTCGTCATAAAACCGCGACCAGACAGGCGGCGCCATCTTCGAACTTGGACTTCCGGAAGGACTTTGGCGCGGGTGAGTGTACCGCGGCGGGGTGTGCGGGGGGCCCAGGGATTACTCCTCCCCTTCTTTTGCAGTAGCACTAAGGTGTTGGGAAGTAAGTCCGGACTCCGCTCTTCCCCCTAGGCAAGGCAGCGCTCCCCCTCCAGCCTCTGCGCTCCTGCAGGAAACCATTATGCCCCCACCTCCTTCCTCAGTGTGGCCTCGGAGCATGCTTCATCTCTGTAAGCCACGGGTCTCGGCCCCTTCCCCCACTCTGTGTCCATAACTCAAAAGTCGGTGTCCCCGTCTCGGCGCTGCTTACTTTGCGTCACTTGGACTAGGCGATCCTACAGTAGTTCCGAGTCTTTGGGAAATCCAGGCTCGCCTACCCTGCTGGCTGCTGGCGAAAGCGGCCCCTGCCGCCAGGACCCGGGGAGGACCGGTGGGGCGGTCTAAACTGGTTGGATCCATGTATTCTGCTGTGTCCCACCCTCTTTCTCCTGGAGGCTCTTCTAACCTCGGGGTTGTGCCCCGCGCGCTGTAACCCCATTGGCGCATCTAAAGGCCACTTGTGTTTCTCTGCTTAGTCCTTTGACTCAGCAGCAAGTTGGTCGTCAGCTGGGGGCAGAGGTGGCGACTTCAGCCCCACCCCAGGTTAACTCACTTTGTGGGCTATGATCAAGCCTCTTCGCCCCAGCGGCATATTGTTACACAAGTTTAAGTCAGTCCCTTGCCTGCGTGGCTATTTTTGCCATCCTTTCTTATCAACGGTACTGTTTTCTTAATAGAGTTAGTTATTTTTAATAACTCTTAATAGAGTTAGTTATTCTTTAGTTATTTTTAAAGTGCAGTGGTTTCTACCAACGTGGAATGAAGCCATCGGTTACAATTTTTGTTATGCAAGTTAAAATAAAAACACAAGTAAAAATGTTTATTTACCACTAAGATGATCTTGCATGCCACTATTTACACCAATGGGAGGCAGTATATTAAACTAGTGTATTTGGGCTGGAGGTGTGGCTTAGTGGTAGAATCCTTGTCTGGCATGCATGAGGCTCTTGGTTTAGTCCCAGCACTACAAAAAGAAAAGCAACAACAAAAACGTAAACGAGTGTGTTTAAAGTAATTCCGTCTTCAAGATGAAAGTAATTCTATTTTGAGGTGTTGTGGTATTTAATTTTTTCTTTGCCCAGGAGGTCAGGTTGGCAGCTTGGAACACTGAAAAACAGGGTAGGTTGGGATGTAAAAACTCTAGTATGAATTTGCTAAAAAGACTTGCTTTATTGTATCCAAAATTAGTATTGTAAAATGATAAATGGAAATTACATCACATACTGCTTCTGTTTTCCATGAGAAGTGAGTTAGTAAAGGGAGTTTTGTATATGTTGAGGAGTCAATCAAGGTTAAATGTAAAGGCGGGCGTTGTGGCTCACGCCTGTAATCTCAGCACTTGGGAGGCTGCGGCAGGAGGATCGTTGCTATTTCGAGACCAGCCTAGGCTACCTAAGTGAGCTCAAGGCCAGTCTGAACTGCATAGCAAGACCCTGTCTCAAAACGACCAAAAAAAAAAAAAAAAAAAAGGATTAAATGTTAATTATTGCCCTTGCCGTGTCCCAAATTCTGGATACAGTAGTGAACCGCATAGGGAAAATAGGAAGCTTTCAAGGAAGACAAGGGCTACACAAATAAGTATGCGTATGTATCTCCTCTACATGAAAATTTCAGGTGGACTAAAGAGCTATTTGTAAAATCCACAACTGGAAAAGTAATTAGAAGAAAAAATATCAGTGGGTTAAGTAATGCCTTTGTTAGACACAAAATAAACAGAAGCCATAAAGGAGACTGAGAAGTTTAATGCATAAAATTTTAGAACTTCAGTTTAGCAAGAAACAAAGTTAATCAGGCATAGTGGCTCATATCTGTAGTTCCAGCGCTGTGGGAGGCTAAGGGAGGAGAATGAAAAGTTCAGCAAGCCCAAGGCGGGGTATGGTGGCACAGGCCTGTAACCCCAGCACTTGGGAGGCTGAGGCAAGAGGATTGTTGCAAGTTAAAGGCCAGCCTGGGCTACAAAGTGAGCTCAAGGCCAGCTTGAACTGCATAGCAAGACCCTGTCTCAAAAAGACAGAAAAAAAAAAAAAAAAGAAAAAATTGAAATATGCGTATCCCTCAACCCAGTAAAGTAATTCCACTTCCAGATTATTCTAATGGAATAATTTTTCATTAATGAAGAGATCTGTAGTAGAATATTCAGCCTAGTATTATTTGCAATAGTATTATAAGCCAGTTGGCTATTAAAAAAGGAATGTCTAAATTATAGTTTTGTAGAACACCTTACAGCAATTAAGATCGGTATACGTGTAGTCATATGGAAAATGTTTAAGACGCATATCAAAGTTACTTAACTGATCTCTGGAGAGACTTCCTGTATTAACTGGTATTCGTTCTGTCTTCTATAAGGCATATACACAGGCACACTGAATGAATCTTGTGTACTTTTCTCCTAATATAGGCCTAGTTACTCTGCTGCCTCTAATTGTTTTGAGAGCTTGCCAAGAGTCATTTTATTGGTTCCCACATTTCAAATGTATCAGGAAAGTTAAGTTGTCTTCTTTCTTTATGTAAATGTTACATATATTTAAAGGTTTCTGTAATCCCAGTACTTGGGAGGCTGAGACAAGAGGATTGCTGTGAGTTTGTGGCCAGCCTGGGCCACATAATGAGAGCAAGACCAGCCTGGACTACACAGTGAGACCCTGTCTCAACAAAAAGTTAAAAAAAGAAGTTTCAAGAATTTTTTTTGTATGAGTTATTGTTTCTATTAAAACTAAAGTTGAAACATGGTAGATTCTAGGTATTTGTTTTGTTGCTGTTCTTATTCTTATTCTACACATTTATAAGTAAAAGTTTGTAAGAGCAACTCAAAAAAATAAGCAGCCTAGTGTGGACATCTGTAATCCCAGCACTTGAGAGGCTCAAGCAGGAGGATTGTCATGAGTTCGCGGTCAGCCTGGGGTAGGCCTGGGCTCAAGGCTACCCTGAACTGCATAGGGAGACCCTGCAGATAAATAAATAAATGAATGAATGAATGAATGAATGGTTTTAAAAAGCAAGCTAAGTTGAGTGCTTTGGGAAGACAAAAGAGGTGACAAAATGCTGTCAAACAAGTGTGAATGAGACAACTGTGAAAGACAGAAAAATGGGTTAAAATCTGGAAGGTTGCTACACTTGAAGTCCCCCTCAAGAAAAGACACTGGTAGCCAAGACCACCACAAATATGTAATCCTAGATTCTCTGGAGGCTGATACAAGAAGATTGCTTAAACCCAGTATTTTGACCAGGCTGGGCAAGCAGCACAGAGAGACCCTGGTTCAAAATGAAGTAAAGAAGCCGGGCATGATGGTACATACCTGTAACTCTGGCACTTCAGAGGCTGAGACAGAAGGATCACTGAGTTTGAGGCCAGCCTGGACCCTGTCTCAAAAAAAGGGGCCAGGGATATGGCTCAGTGGCATGGTGCCTGCCTACCTGGCAAATATGAGGTCCTGAGTTCAATTCCTGGTACCACAAAAAAAGAGGGAAAAAGGCAAGATGGGGTCGTATTGGGTAATGTTGGTGCTGCTGAGAGGTCAGTGTAAAGGAGACTGAGAGCCAGGTGCAGTTCACTTGCCTGGAATCTCAGCTACTCAGGAGGGTGTTACAAGAAGTTCATAAACTTGAGGTCAGCTTGGGCAAGTGAGTGAAACCCTTGTCTCAGAAAGGGCTGGGAGTGTGGTTCAGTGGTCCCTGGTTTCAATTCCCCAGACTGGGAGTATCGCTGAGCAGTGTCCATTGGATTAATGACTTAGTGATTATTGATATTAGCTGCAGTGGTGGTGGTGGGGGGAGGGGCATTAACAGGCTAAAACTGGGAAATGAAAATGTCAAGGGCAGACACATTTTAAGTTTAGTTGTGAGGGAGATGGAGGGTGTTAGAGGAAGAATTTTTGTTGAAGGACAATTGTGTGTTAAGACCAGAGTCATAAACAGACACAGTTTAGGAGGCAATGGGAAGAAAGGATAAACTCAGTTTTCCTGAGAAGGTAGGAGAATGGGGCTAGAACACAATGGAACAGATCTTAGAAAGTAGATAAGGCGACCTGGGGATATAGCTTGGCAGCACAGCGCCTGCCTGGCAAGCGCAGGTCCTGAGTTTGATTCTAGGTACCAAAAAAAAAAAAAAGGAAAGTGAATGAGGGTATCAGATGCAGAGAGTACTGACTGACTTGACAAGAAACTGAAGTGTTGCCTGTCTAATGGCTTAGGTTTTTTTTTGTTTGTTTTGGGACTAGGAATTGAACACATGGCCTTTTCTATGCCAGGCAAGCACTCTACCACTTAGCTAAATCCCCATTATGTGGTTTAGGATTTTGTCCAGAAATCAGAAACAACATCATCTGCACAGAACCAGGGAATTGGAGATTGGAGGAGAGAAATTGTGGAAGCTGACGAGGGAGAAAATAGAGTTGATAGTGCCTGGCAATTGATATGCACACATGGTAAAAAGTGACAGTTGGACTCATCTAGAGCTTGAAATTTTCTAAAACTTTGGACCAAAAAGACACGAGAGAAACTGGAAAAATTGAGTGGTAGTAGTTGAACAATCTAGTATGATGATGGCAAATTATGACCCAGTGATGGGATCCCTTAGTGAATCTTAGGAGCTTCAAAGAAGCAAGGTGTTTGCGGGAGAGGGAAGACCGTTGGTCTTGAAGTGGCACTGGAGAAGAATTGAGAAGACTGATTCCGCTTTCTGCCCTGAGGACCATGGGGTGTGAGAGGATGAGCAACCTCTACGCTAGCACCTGGAAAGCTAGACGTTTCATTTCTGTGTGGGGTTTGAGGGGATTTTGTTTTTGTATTTGTTTTGTTTGGTTTTTTGGCCTCCAAGATTTTGAACATGATTTAGAATTTGCAAAGCAAATGTTCTCTTGGAGAATTTGAATTTGGACTTAAGTTTAGAGCAAAGAGAGGAAAGGCAAGCTAGGAAGGAGGCCTGCATTTTGCTTGTGCAGATTGTGCCAGTGTATGGTTTGAGATCTGGAGCCAGAGAACTGGCTTAGCTCTTTTTCTTTTCTTTTCTTTTCTTTTTTTTTTTGTACCGGGAATCAAACTCAGGACCTTGTGCTTACCAGGCAGGCGCTTTCTTACCACTGAGCTATATCCCCACTCCACCTGCCCCCCTTTCATTTTGAGACAGAGACTCTGAGTTGCCTAGGTGGGATTTGAATTTGTGATCCTTTTGCCTCAGCCTCCCAAAGTGCTGAGATTACAAGCATGTGCCACAATGCTCAGCTTTTGGTCCTCTTTTATGTACAACTTTTTGAGTTCTTTTGTTTGCAATATCTTTTAGAAAGCATATAGTTATTTTTTTTAATAAATTTGAATCTTGTGGCACACATGTGTAATCCCAGCACTCAAGAGGCTGAGGCAGGAGGACTGCTTGAAGTTCAAGGCCAGCCTGAATTGCATAGTGAAACCCTGTCTCAAAAAAAAAAAAATTTGAATCTGTATTCTTTCTTTAATGGATGAGTTTATCTGATGTGTATTGTTATACATACACACACACACATACATATATATATATATATTTTTTTGTGAGACAGGGTCTCGCTATGTAGTTCAGGTTGACCTTTAACTCACTATGTAGCCACTATGCCTGGCTCAATATACATATATTTTATTTTTTAGTACTGGGAATTGAACTCAGGACCTTGAGCATACATTTTAAAATATTGCTTGTGTCTTTGTTTTACTCATACCCTTGTTAGGTTCTCTTTTCTTTTTTTATTTCTTCTCTTTTTTTGTTTGCTTAGTTTTTTTTTTCTTTCTTTCTTTTTTTTTTTTTTTTTCTGGTACCAGGAATTGAACTCATGATCTTGTGCTTGCCAGGCAGGCGCTGTGCCGCTGAGCTAAATCCCCAGCCCATTTGCTTGTTTTTTTAACTAGGAATGGAACCTAGCCCTTTATTCTTAATCTTTTACTATGTGGCTTTAAAAAAAAAATTCCAGCCGGGCATGGTGGCACATTCTTATAGTCCTAGCACTGAGAGAACTGAGTCCTGGGATCACTGAGAAAACTCCAGATAGCCTGGGCTATCTAGTGAGTTCAAGGCCAGCCTGGACTACATAATCATCCTGTCTCAAAAACAAAGCAAACAGAAAAATTCCAACCAGGCCTAGTAGCTCATACCTGTAATCCCAGCACTTACAAGGCTGAGACAGGAGGATCACTGTGAGTTAAAGGCCAGCCCAAACTACACAGTGAGATCCTATCTCAAAAAAAAAAGAAAAGAAAAGAAAAGAAATTCCAGCCAGGAATGGTGTTCCACACCTATAACCTCAGATTGTTTAGCTGGGAGTGGAGCCTGGAGGCTTGCCAGCCTGGGCTGCATAATGAGTTCAAAGCCAGCCTAAATTATATAGTGAGACCTTGTCTCAGAAACAGAACTGCTGGGTGTGGGGCTGAACCCCTGTAATCCCAGAACTCGTAAGGGAGACTGAGGCAGAAGGATCACTGTGAGTTTGAGGCCAGCCTGAACTGCATAATGAGACCTTTTCTCAGTTGACTTTGTTGTTGTTTCTGGGAATCGAACTCAGGACCTTACGCTTACCAGGCAGGTGCTGTGTGGCTGAGCTAAATCTCTGGCCCCAGACCCTGTCTCAAAAAAATAAAGACTAAAGACAAGCCAGGAAATTAGCTCTTTGTGAAGGCTCTGGGTTCAGTCCTGAAGAGAGAGATAAAGGTAGAGAAAAGGGGCCAAGTCATTCTGATAGTGCCCTCCTCCCCCTGCCCCCTCCTCCCCACGCAAATAAAAGGAGGAAGAGATCTATCTTCTATCCTTCTGGCCCCTATGATATACTGAGTATTTTGGAAGCAGTGTACTCTGATAAACCTATATGTTTTCAGTTTAACAACCTTAGAAGCAAAATTAGGGTACCTCTGTTTTTAGTCTACTATGAATATTGGTATTTTTACATTGTGCAGTCTTTAATTTTTTTTTTTTTTTTTTTTTTTTTTTTTTTTGGTTTTTGGTTTTTCTTTTTGAGACAGGGTCTCACTATGCAGCTCAAACTGGCCTTGAACTCACTTTGTAGCCCAGGCTGGCCTCCTGCCTCAGCCTGCTGAATGCTGGGATTACAGGCATGCATCACCACGCCCAGCTTTAAAATGTTTAAGCTAGAGTCTGTTTTATAGCTAATTACCATACTTATTTAAATTCAGTTTAATGTTTTACTGGGTAAATATTGTGATGGTTAATCTTGATTGGATTGGAAAATGCTGAGAAAATTAGTAAAGTACACTTGCGGGTTTGTGTCTGGGTGTTTCCAGAGGTTATTGGGTCATGAAGACTGGTCACTTCTCTGTGACTAATGTATTAACCCAGTTATGATGAGATCATAATTTGATACCTTTGCTTGGGAGGTATTGGATATTTAGGTGGTGGGGTTAGGTGAAGGAAGTCAGTAACGGGTGAGACTGAGACACTGGGGACTAAATCTGATCCCAGGCCCCAGCCTCCTTGCCTTTTCCCTGTTTCTTGGCTACCATGAAGGGAGCAGCTTTTTGCCACACCCTTTCTTCATGACATTTTTCCTTGAGGCTTGGAGCTTTTTAATCAGGGATGGAAACCATGAGTTGAACTAAACCTTTTCTCCTTTAAGTTGTATATGCCAGGCATTTTGTCCCAACAACAGAAAAGTGACTAATACAAATGCTTGCTGTCAGTCTTTTCATACCACAACTTCCCCATTACACAGTTCTGTTTGTGTGTATGTTTGTATGTATGTATGTATTTGCTTTTTCGAGACAGGGTCTCACTGTGTAGTTCAGCCTGCCATTGACCTCACTGTGTACTCCAGGCTGACCTTAAACTCGAGGTGATCCTTCTGCCTCAGCCTCCCAAGTACTGGGATAATTAGGTATGCACCACCACGCCTGGCTTTCTCTCTCATTTTGGGGGTATATGTAATTAACTGTATTGATTTTCAGGGAGAGGAGTTGAATTATGTACTTATCATAATATTCTTACAAGAGAATGTATTTAAATTAAGTAATTTTTATAAAGCAGTGTGGTGTTTGACACATGGTAAGCATTTGATAAATGATAGCTTATTATTTGTTTACTTGTTTGTTGTTTGCTCCACCAGAATGTAATTTCCATGAGTGCAGGGACCTTGTCTGTCTTAATCATCATTATCAGTTTCTGGAGTAGCACCTAACATAGAAGGTGCTTGGTTATTATTTTTGAATGAATAAATGAATGATGGGGGAACTTGGGTTTCTAATTGTGGAGTGAGGGAAGAAAAGATAGGAAAAGAGAAAAATCTGAGCCTGTACAAAGAACTCCTGCCTTCTACTCACTAGTGTGTCTTTACGCAGGGACAGCCATTTTGGGGGGTGCTGATGGATACCTACGGGGTCGGCTGTGTTGCCCTAGGGGAGGCCGGCCCCGTGGGGAACATGACTGTGGTAGACTCTCCTGGACAAGAAGTGCTAAACCAGCTTGGTGTCAAGGCCCCCTCAGAAACAACCAGTATGGAGGCCTCCATAGAGATGTCACTACCTACTCCTTTGCCTGGATTTGAGGACTCTCCTGGTATGAGGAGGTTTCCTCCAGATCAGGAGAGCCTCTCCAGACTGGAACAACAAGGTATGTACCATGCTCTTTTCTCCTTTTACTCCCCATGTTAGCGTAAGATGAAAGAGAGCCGCAGGTTGAACTCATAGGATCTTACAGACCTGGGTACAGTATAGTCTTTTGCAAAGAGGTTTGAGCGCTGGTCCCATCTCACAGACCCATATTCTTCTCTACAGATCTTTCTTCAGAGATGTCAAAGGTTTCAAACCCTAGGGCCTCAAAGCCTGCCCGGAAGAGAGGTAGTAGGACACGAAAAGGCCCCAAAAGGCCCCAACAGCGTAAAGCTCCATCAGCCCCTTTGGTTCCTGGTCTCTTAGATCAATCCAACCCTCTATCCACCCCCATGCCTAAGAAACGAAGTCAAAAGTCCAAGGGAGATCTGCTCCTGCTGAAGTTGTCCAAAGGCCTAGATCAGCCAGAGTCTCCACCTTCAAAGAGGCCCCCTGAGGACTTTGAGACCCCTTCTGGGGAACGACCCCGCCGAAGGGCTGCCCAAGTGTAAGGATTGTGGGGCACAGCCTGGTGGGGAGGGTTGGGGTGAAGGGATGGCGGGTGGGGTATGTCAGAGAGATGGAAAGACTGAGGAGGTGTCAGGTAAGCAGGGGTGGTGTCTGTACTCTGGGGGTGTGGGTAATCCTTTAGCTCTCACCACAGCAATTTTTGTGGTATCTATTCCTAACTTTTGTATCTGAGAGGCTTTCTGCACCTGTACTCTATATTTTTTACAGACTTCCCCCAGACTTTTCTTCCTTGCTATTTTACCGAATCAACCAAGTCTGGAGAAGTGGGCTCTCAGTTAATTGTTTGTGAGGATGGCTCTGATTCTGCCCTGTCCCGCAGGGCCCTTGTGTATCTTCAGGAACTGGCTGAAGAGCTCTCTTCAACCCTGCCAGCTCCAGTGACCTGTCCCAAGAGCCCCAAGGCGAGTAGCCCCACCAGACTGAAGAAGACCCCGCAGCAGGCAGCCTGTCATGGTGGAGAAGAGGATGCTATTATACAGGATGAAGACTTTGTTCTCCAGGTTGAGGCTGAAGATGGGGCAGAAAGTGAGGCCCCAAGTGAGGCCCTATCTGACCCTGAGCCTGCAGTGCCTCGAAGCACCCCTCGAGGATCCACTTCAGGGGTAACCTGAAAGGCTAAAAATGGGAATGGGGAAAATAAGATTTGTCAGGGATCAGCCAGGTGCCCAGAAGTCTTGCTTTGGCTTGGTAACTGAGGTGGCCAGAACAGATTAAAAAAAAAAGAACAACTTTCAAAAATCACTGAAGAGCTGGGTGTGGTGGTGCATGCCTGTAACCCCAGCTTCTTGGGAGCAGGATCAAAAGTTCCACCCCAGTCTGGGCAACTTGGTGATTTAGTGAGACCCTGTCTCAAAATAAGAAATTTTTTAAAAGGTTTGGGATATAGCTCAGTGTAAAGGCCCTGGGTTTAATCCTCAATACTAAAAAAAGAAGGAAAATAAGCAAATTGAGATATTAGGGAGGTTGTGGGGGAAGGTTTTAGTAAACTAGATTATTCAGTCATAACTGAGTATTCTCTGCTAGGAAACAACAAAAGTGAACAAGAGTTGTGCTTCACAAATTCATAATGTAATAAGTACTACAAAGGAGTGAACAACATGATCTAGGCATACAAAGAAATGGAGATTGCCAGGCATGCTGGCGCACACCAGTAATTCCAGCACTCCAGAGGCTGAGGCAGGAGGATCACTGAAAGTTTGAGGCCAGCCTGGAGTACACAGCAAGACCTTGTTTAAAAAAAAAAAATGGAAAGCGTGATTAACTGCTTGGGAGTCATAAAGGAATGGTAAATGAAGTGGGTCTTAACGAGTGAACAAAGATTTCCCAGAAATAGATTCAGCTGGAGCACAGGGCTGGGATAAAGTTGTAGAGGAGATCAAACCAGAAAGAATGAAAGGACTAAAATTGCTAGGAGCCAAAAACAGCATTGGCTTTGTTATTTCACTGTGGGAAAGTATAAATACTAACAATTTTAACTACTTATAAATGGAAAAATTAGTGGCCATAGCGCACCTGTAATTTGTGCCAACTGTCAGCACCAAACGTTTCCAGAACTCTTTATCATCCCCAGCAGAAGGTCAGTGCAACAAGGGTTTCAGTAGAGAAATAACATTACTGATTAGGGAAATACGTCAAGTTGCAGTTCATAATTAGAAGACAGCTTCCAGTTACCCAGCTGAAAGATAGCAAGGTCCTAAATGAAGCAGTAAAGGACACAGAGGGGAGGGACATCGAAAAGTATGTAACTTTTGGGAGGTGAAGGAAAGGAAGAAGCTGTTCAGGAGTTTCCTGCTTTGTGGTGGCATCATGTAAAGTAGTGGCAGGGATGTGATGAGCCCCCTTCCTGACATGTTGAGTTAGAGGTGCCAGTGGGTCATTGGTCACCAATTGTATATGTGGGACCAGTAGCTTACTTGTCTCAAAGACATAAGGGAGCACCAAGACTCTGAGTAAGCAAGATAAATGATTTTTTTGTTATGTTGATTTGTTTATTTTTTTTGAGACAGGGTCTCACTATGTAGTTCAGGCTGGTACTCACTATGTAGTGCAGGCTGGCCTCAAACTCATGGCGATCCTCCTGCCCTAGCCTCCAAGTGCTGGGATTACAGGTGTGCACCACCACACCTGGCCTGATAAATGATACTTTGATGCAATATTTTAAAAATCACAATTGATACAACAAATCCAAAATGTCAAAATTTTGAGTGAAGACATGTACATCGCTGGTTTTTGGGGGGTAATTACTGATTTTTCCTTTTGCCTTAGAATCTGATTGACTGAGCACAACACAGTATGGGTTTAGAGTTGGTAGAGAAGTTGAGACTGGGCCAAGTTAGTGTTTATGGAGATGTCAACTTGATGATCAGGCGTAGTAGTCTAAACTAGTAGTCTAAAGGTAGTAGTAGTCTAAACTGTGGGTGTGGATGAGGTTACCAGGAGTGTAAAGAATACCTTTACCAATCATGATCCACCAGAGGAAGGAGAGTCTGCAAAGAAATACTAAGAGAATGGGAGGAGTGGGGAGTGAGTGTTGGCACAGGGCAGGGGTTTCAAGAACTGGACAGGAAGGGCATGGTGCTACATACCTGTAGTGCTAGCACTACGGAGGCTGAGGCCAACCTGGACTATGTAACAAAAAGTATGCAAAAGCCATGTGAATCAAATACCATGGAAATGTCAAGGTAACAGAAAATGGCTAACAGAAGATGCAGTTTGCTGGAGAAAGAGCAACAGAGATGAAAGAACTCTTTCAGTGGTTGAAGCACAGATCTTTAAGGTGCTTATAGGATAGTGGTTGGAGGATTAGTCATGGCAAAGGAGGTGAAAGCTTGGAAGGAAAGCTGCCTTCTAGAACTTTCTCCAGCTTATAATGTTCTCTCTCTTACGTTTTCCTCAGAAGCAGAAGCCGCACTGCCGGGGAGTGGCTCCCAATGGCTTACCCAATTACATCATGGCCCCTGTTTGGAAGTGCCTCCATCTCACCAAGGACCTGTGAGACTTGGGGACTGCAGTCTGAGGGGAAGGGATGGTGGAAGAATGAAAGGACAATATAGAAAGAAAAGTGACTGTGGGTAGAACATAGTGATACTATTCATTACCAAAGCCACTGCTCCAAAGGCAAGAGCTCCAGAACTTTTTAATTAAAATGAAATGAGGGGACAGGGGCATAGCTCAGTGGTAGAGTGCTTGCCTAGCATGCTTGGATTAATCCCTGGATTAATAACAGCCCTGGATTAATCCCCAACACTGCCAAAAAAAAGGAAAGAAATGGAAGGTTCCATTTTTCACTTGCACTGACCGCATCTCAAATGCCTAGTGGCCACTTGCCTCTAGTGGCGAGCATATGGGATAGCACAAACTACAGGTCATTTCCAGCCTTGCAGAAAATTGTATTGGATAACAGTAATACAATATCTTGCTCCTCCACTGATGCCTCCTCTGTCTCTCCAGCCGAGAACAAAAGCATTCATTGTGGGAGTTTGCAGAATGGATTCCTCTAGCCTGGAAATGGCACTTGTTATCTGAACTGTAAGTTGAAGTGACATCTCTAAAGCCTAGGAGGGGTGACAGCAATGGAGATGGAAAAATAATTGAGGACTCTGGGTGTGTAGTGGGAATCCTGGGATGGGTGAAGCTCTTCCAAAAAAAATTTCTTTAAAAGAGGAAAAAAGGGGCTGGGGATTTAGCTCAGTGGCAAAAGCGCCTGCCTGACAAGCGCAAGATCGTGAGTTCGGTTCCCGGTACCCGAGAAAAAAACCAAAAAAAAAAAAAGAGGAAAAAAAAAATGAAGCAGTTTCAAAACAGGATAATAAAGTACAAGGTCCTGAGTTCAATTCCCAATGTCAAAAAAAACCCAAGATAATAGGAGGGTAGCAATGGTTAATACACTAGCTGTTATTGTCTTTAAATTACTTACTCAGAGTACCAGATACAGGCATTTCATTGTCCAAACAGTATTAGCACAAACCTTTCTTTTCAGTGAACTAAGAGAAAAAAGTAGTATAACTGTCTATCTTGTGTATGTATATGTATTTATTTATTTATTTATTTATTTATTTGCTTTTCCCTTTTCTCCTTTCCCCATCTATGTTTCTCTTTCCCTTTGAATAGTTTCTTCCCATTTACAGTATCAGTTGTACATTTCACATTTTACTTACTCTTTCAGCTTCTCACACTAGGGAGACAATATGATGTTTGAACATGTATGTCTGGTTTATTTCACTTATGAGTATGGTTTCAAGTTGTATCCATTTACCTATACAAGTCTCCAGTTTGTTATGGCTGAATAGTACTCCATTGTATAAAAAGACGACATCCTTTTTATCCATTCCTCGGTTGATGGGCATTTGGGTTGTTTCCAAGGTCTAGCTATTACAAATTATGCTGCTATAAACACAGGTGCACATATATCACTGTGGTACAGTGTTTTTAATTTTTCCAGGTAGATACCCAGAAGGGGAATAGCTGGGTCAAATGGGACCTTCAATCCTAGTTTTTTGAGGAATATCCACACTGCTTTCCACAGTTGCACCAGTCTGCACTCCCACCAACAGTTCCTCTTTCCCCCACAGCCCCTCCAGCATTTGTTACTGGTTGATTTCTTGATAATAGCCATTCTTTCTGGGGTGAGATGGAATCTCAGTGTTGTTTTAATTTGCATTTCTTGAATGACCAGTGATGTTGAACATATTTTCATATATTTATTTGCTGTTTGTGTTGCTTCATCTGAGAAGTGTGTATTCATCTCAGATACCCATTTTTGGATTGGGTCTTTAAATTTGGGAGGTCTGATACTTTTGAGTTGTTTATACATTCTCAATAGTAATCCTTTGTCTGAGGAACAGCTGGCAAACATTTTTTCCCCACACTGTGAGTTGTCTCTTCACTCTGTTAGTGGTTTTTCTTGCCGTACCAAAGCTTTTTAATAAGATGGGATCCCAGTTGTTGATTCTTTTTGATAGTTCCTGTGTGGTCAGGGTTTTATTCATAAAGTCTTTGCTTACACCAGTATCTTCAACAGTTTTACTTATTCTGTCTTCTAGCAGACTTGTTTTTGTTTTAATACTTAGATGTTTGATCCATTTCAAATTTAGTGCATGGTAAAAGTATGGGTCCAATTTTAATCTTAGGCATGTGCAGAACCAGTTTTTCCAGCACCATATTTTTGTTGTTGTTGTTGTTTTTTCCCGTACCAGGAATCAAACTCACAACCTTGTGCTTGCCAGCTAAATCCTCAGCCCCTCCAGCACCATTTATTAAAGAGGCTGACTTTCTTCCATTGAATGTGTTTGGCACCTTTGTCAAAGATAGCTGAGTGTGTCAAATGTAGGTAGCTGAGTGTGTCAAATGTAGCTGAGTGTGTCTGGAGTTTTTTGCATCTTTTAATCTGTTCCATTGATCTTCAGGTCTGTTTTTTTGCCAGTATCATGCTGTTTTTAATCTGAGTAGCGTTATAGTACAATTTCAAGTCAGGGATTGTGATGACCCCTTTGCCTTGCCTTTGTTCCCCAGAATCACCTTTGTTATTCTAGGTCTCTAACGGTTTCAAATGAATTTTGGGATTGTTTTCTCTAATTCTGTGAGATATGCTATTGGAGTTTTGATCGAATTGCATTAAATCTGTATAATTTTCACTATATTGGTTTTTCCTACCCAAGAGCAAGGGATATCTTTCCATTTTCTGATACCCCCTTCAATCTCCTTTTTCAGAGTACTGTAGTTTTTAATGTAGAGGTCGAATATCCTTTGTTAGATTGATTCCTAAGTGTTTTATTTTGTTGGATGTTATTGTGAAAGGTGTTATATTCCTAATTTCTCTCTCAGTGAGTTTGCTATTCGTGTACAGGAAGGCTATTGATTTTTAAGTGTTGATTTTGTATCCAGCTACGCTACTGAATTTGCTTATTAAATCTAGCAGTTTTTTTAGTGGATTTTTTGGGGTCTTCTAGGTAGAATATCATGTCATCTGCAAATAATGATAATTTAACTTCCTCCTTTCCTGTCATTATTCCTTGTACTTCTTTCTCTTGTCTAATTGCTCTGGCTAAAGTTTCCAGGACTATGTTGAATAAGACTGGAGACAGTAGGGGCTGGGGATTTAGCTCAGCGGCAAAAAGCGCCTGCCTGGCAAGCGCAAGGTCGTGAGTTCAGTTCCCGGTACCGGAGAAAAAACAAAAACAAAAACAAAAACAAAAACAAACAAAAAAAAAAGACTGGAGACAGTAGACATCCTTGTCTTGTTCCCAAGTGAAAAGCTTTCAGTTTTTGTCCATTTAGTATGATGTTGGCTGTTGATTTGTCATAGATGGCTTTTATCAGATTGAGATAAGGACCATCTATTCTAATTTTCTGTAGGGTTTTTATCATGTATGGGTGCTGGACTTTGTCAAAAGCTTGTTCTGCATCTATTGAGATGATTATATGATTTTTGTCCTTGGCTTTGTTGATATGGCATATTACATTTATTGATTTATGTATGTTGAACCATTCTTGCATCCCTGGGATAAATCCTACGTGGTCATGGTGTATACTCTTCTTGATGATTTGCTGCATTCTGTTTGCCAGTATCTTACTGAGGCTTTTTGCATCTATGTTCATTAGGAAGATTGGCCGGTAGTTCTCTTTTTTAATTGGGTCCTTCCTGATTTTGGTATCAGGGTAATACTTGCTTCCAGGAGTGAATTTAGGACAATTGCTTCCCTTTCAGTTTTATTAACCAGTTTGAGAAGTAGTGGTATTAAGTCTTCTCTAAATTTCTTGTAGAATTCAGCAGTGAATCTGTCAGGGCCTGGGCTTTTTGTTTGTGGTAGGTTTTTAATTACATCTTTGATATCATTGATTAATGCTGGTTTATTTAGGATTTTTATATCTTCTTGCTTCAGCTTTGGTATTTGTATGTATCTAAGAATCTGTCCACTTCTTCTACATTTTCTGTCTTATTAGAATACCAGTTTTCATAGTAGGCGTAGATAGTCTGGATTTCTGCAGAATTAGTTGTGACTTCACCCTTTTCATTCCTAATTGTTTGGACGTAAGTCTTTTCTTTCCTTTTTTTTGATAAGATTGGATAAGGGTTTGTCTATTTCATTTAATCTTTGAAAGAACCAACTCTTCAATTCATTGATTCTTCGTATGGTTTTCATAGTCTCCAGTATGTTAATTTCTGCTCTAATGTTTATAATTCCTCCCTCGTAGGAGTTTTTGGCTTAGGCTACTCTTCTTTTTCTAGAAATTTGAGGTTCACCATTAAGTTGTTTATTTGTACTTACCTGTTCTCCTGATACGGGTATTCACTGCTATAAATGTCCCTCTTAGGACTGCTTTCATTGTGTTCCATAGGTTTCAGTATGTTGTATTGTTATTATTTAATTGTAGAAACTGTTTAATTTCTTCTTTAATTTCATCTGTGATACGTTGGTTGATCAGGAGGGTGCTATTTAATTTCCATGTTTTTATGAAGTTCTTGTGGTTTCTTTTGCCATTGATTTCTAATTTCATTGCATGGGATAATTTCAATTCCCTTGCATTTACCTAAGCATGTTCTATGAACAGTTATATGGTCTATTTTGGAGAATGTCCTGTGTGCAGATGAGAAGAATATGTATTCTGATATTGTGGGGTTGAACACTGTAGACATCTATTAAGTCTATTTGTTCAAAAATTTGGTTCAGTTCTGATATTTCATTGTTGATTTTTTTTTTTGTCTAGTTGATCTGTCTTCATGTGACATTGGGGTATTGAGATCCTGCAATACAATTTTATTAGTGCTTATTTGATTTTTCTTGTCTGTTAATATTTGTTTTATATAGTTGGGTGCACTGGTATTTATTGCATATATATTTATGATTGTTATCTCTTCCTCTTGGATTGTTCCCTTTACAAGGATGTAGTGACCTTCTTTATCACTCTTATTCAGTCTTAGCTTGAAATTCACTTTGTCTGCAAATAGAATAGGTACCCTTGCTTTTTTCTTTGTTCCTGTCACATGGAGTATTGTTTTCCATCATTTGACTTTTAGTCTGTGAATTTCTTTTTGAATTAAATGTGTTTCTTGTATGCAGCATATTGTTGAATCTTGCTTCTTGATCCATTCTGCCAGTCTGTTTCTTTTGATTGGTGAACTGAGACCATTAACACTGATGCTTATTCACTGGGCCTGGTGGCACACACCTGTAATCCCAGCACTCGGGGAGGCTGAGGCAGGAGGATTGTTGTAAGTTTGAGGATGTCCTGGGCTACAAAGTGAGTTCAAGGCCAGCCTAAACTGCATAGTGAGACCCTCTCTCAAAAAGACAAAAAAAAAAAAAAAACCCCAAAACCAAGAAAATACCCCAAAACATTGATAGTTACAACTGATATGTATTGACTTATCCTTGTCATGTTATTTTCCTGTTGTTGGTACATCCCTTTTTTCCCCTCCATTTAATTGTTTGCCTTGCTTGGTGAATTCCTTCTGTTGGGGTTCATGGAGTTGTAGTCCTTGTTATCTCTTACTAGAATGCCCTTCAAAACATTTTTGAGTACTGGTTTGGTGGTCATAAATTTCCTCAGATGTTCTTGTTTTGTTTTGTTTTTTAAAGATATTCTCAGGTGTTCTCTCTCATGGAAGCATGGTATTTCTCTATCATTTTTGAAAGATAGTTTTGCAAGGTACATCAACCTGGGTTGAAGGTTGTTTTTGTTTAGAACTTGAAATACTTCACCCCAAACTCTCCTTGGCTTGAAGGTTTGTGCTGAGAAGTCAGCTGTGATTCTGATGTGCTTTCCTTTATAGGTGATTTTTTTCTTCTGTTAGGGAGAATTCTGTTCTTGAGCTGGGCATGGTGGCACACATCCCAGCACTGCCTGTAATCCCAGCACTTGAGAGGTTGAAGCAAGAGGACCGTTACGAGTTTGAGGCCAGCCTGGGCTATAAAGTGAGCTCAAGGCCAACCTGAACTGCATAGCAAGACCCTGTCTCAAAAAGACAAAAAAAAAAAATTCCATTCTTGTGTTCAATTTCTGGAATCTTGATTATGATATGCCTATAGATTTTTTTTTAGATCATGGCTAATTGGAGTTCTAGTTGCCTCACTTATCTGTATGTCAAATTCTTTTTCCTTACCAAGGAAATTTTCTGCCAGTTTTTTTATATCATTTGTGCTGTCTCCTGCTTTTTTCATTGATTATAAACATCTTAAGTTATTTTTCTTTGCCTCTTCTAGCAACTGCTGGATTGATTTCTCATGGTCCTTTGCTATTTTTAAGGAATCTTTTTATGACTGCTAACCCCAAGCCTGTCTTCTCTATCTGAGATCCTATCCTCATGTTGCCTTAATCTGTTGCTAATACTTTCAGTGGAATTTTTATTCTCCTGGATATCTGCTTGAATCTCCCTCATGGGTTCTATTTCTTTCTTTCTTTTTTTTTCCGGTACCGGGAACCGAACTCACGACCTTGCACTTGCCAGGCAGGCGCTTTGCCGGTGAGCTAAATCCCCAGCCCCTCTATTTCTTTCTTATGCTGAACATTCATGGCTTCCATAATTTTCTTGAGCTCCTCTATTTTTTTGTTTGTATCTTGCTCTGGAGTCACTAAGCATGGTTTTCATTGCAGACACTATCTCTGCAGTTATCTGAGAAATTTTTTCTGATTTGATTTTTTCTAGAGGCTCATTCAGTTGCTTTGTTGTTACTACTTCAGAGAGGTCAAGTGGGTGGTGCTTGGATTGTCCCACTTCATTGTGCCCTGGGTTTTCCTTTAGTGAACTGGATGACTGGGGTTGCATCTTGTTTAAGTGTCTTCTTTTCTTTTTTTAAGAAAAAAACTGGATGACTGGGGTTGCATCTTGTTTAAGTGTCTTCTTTTCTTTTCTTTTTAATTCCTGGGATGATGCTTGTAAATTACCTATGGTGGATTGCTTTATTGCAAGTATTTAGAACTCTTAGGAAATGACTACTTCTCTGAGGTATCTTCTAGATGTAACTGGTTCTGGAGTTTGGGGTCTGCTGCAAGATCCTACGTCTTGAATTTCTTAGGGATGAGAAGTTGCTGCCTGTTTGGCCCACTCGTGGTTCTTTGGCATTGTGACACAGTATTTTTTATGACCCTTAGTCAGTCTCAGTGATGAAATACTAGGAAGAATACCTGTTTAGAACAATTATGTCACTTTTGGCTAAAGTGGTACCATCAGCAATAATGGTAGCAATAGTCACAACCTAGAAAATGACAAACGAAAAAAGAAGAAAATGACAAACTGAGATAACAATTAATTTGCCACCTTTATAACCATATGAACTAGATTTGTAGTTACATAACAAAATCTAAAACAGACCAGAAATTATATGTAGTATAGAAGTCCTTAATATGTCAATTTTACACTCGGGTTAAAATTTAAAAGGGGTTCGCGAAAAATTAGAGAGGTAGAAGAAGAAAAAGATTAGAAGTAAGGCTGGTGGATAAACAGGAATCACACTAACTTTGGGAACTAGTGCAGAAGACTAGAGAGAAAGAAAGGAGAGATACAAAGAGCAGAACTGAACCACAAACCACAAAGAGGCTAGAAACCACATTCACACTCACATAAAAACAAGATCAAACAGTAAAGGAGAAAAAAACAAAAAACACAACAACAAAAAACAAATGGGAGAAGGAAAAAAAATGCACTGCCAGGTTTGTTTCTGCTGTCACTGGTAAACATGTGGAGACAGAGTCCCATTCCATGCCAGTCTGTTGCAGCAAGCCAGCAGTGCCTTTTTTGGTGGGGTAGTGGATAATCTCAGTGAGCCTGCACCTTCTGGCTGAGACCAAATTAATTCGGCCTGCAGCTGCCAGTACACGTTCCGCAGGCCTGAGCTAGATGGAGCCAGCAGCCACTCTGAGTTCTGAGCTCTGTCAGCCCCTCTCCAAGATGGCTCCTGGCCAATCACTCTCTTATGTGGGGCAAGAGCCCTCAGCACTGCCAGCAAATGCAGTCCTTCATGTCCACTACTCCCCTTTACTGGTGTGTCCCTCCGTGGAGGGCTCTGGGGTCACTAGCAGTCACCATGGTCCATAGGTTTGAACCGCTCCTCTCACACAGTGAGTCCCATTGCAGGGAGAAGGCACCACTGGCTACCTCCTTCACTGAAGTTTCTCTGGGCTTCAGTTCATGTTTCAGATCCTTCCTGGTCCAGAGGACCCACTTTCCTCCTCCTTGTCTTCCTCCGGTTGCTATAGTCTAGCATCTGGATGGCAGCACTCAGAGAGGCTCTTTCTCTGTTGCTTACCACTCCGCTATCTTGGTGCCTCCATGTCTTCCAAATTGAAGCTGTTCCCTTTTCCTTCCCCTAGTGAAGCAGCTCCCTACCTGCCCCAGGAGGAGAAGTCTCCACTGTTTTCTGTACAACGTGAAGGCCTTTCTGAGGATGGCACACTGTACCGAATAAATAGGTAAAGATTACAGCTGAGCCCATGTTCCCTTTTTTTTTTTTTTTGAGACAGGGTCTTGCTATGTAGCCCAGGCTGTCCTCGAACCCACAGGAATCCTCCTGCCTCAGCCTCCTGAGAGCTTGGATTACAGGCAGACACCACCATACCCATCCCATATTCCCATTCTAAGAGACAGACACAAGAGAAATGGATGTTGAAAGGGATGACAGATAAGCCCTGTCCTTCCCCTGCTGGTGATCTGGTTGGCCTTAAGGATAGGAGTCCTAGCTGGAGCAATATTCTCTGCTGCTGGCCAGACTGAGGAAAGCTACAGAGACTCGAGGTCAAACCAGTAAAAGTCACATGCACTCAGCCCTTGAGAGAGTGCTGCAGTAAATCCAAATGCACAGCCTCTCATCTTTGAAGATGAGCTGGACCACAGACTTTGGGAAGGAGCTGGACATGGTTGCTGAGCACTGCTCTCACCTGTAGGATGTTTATAATTTTCAGGCCCTTGTAATTTTCAGGCCCAGGTCACACTTGCTCCAGGTGGACCTTAGATTCTGTCCTTGTTCCCATTTATTAACCTCATTTTCTGTCCATCTTTGACTTTTCTCTAGATTTAGCTCAGTCACAGCACATCCAGAACGCTGGGATGTGTCCTTCTTCACTGGGGGTCCACTGTGGGCTCTGGACTGGTGCCCAGTGCCAGAGGGGTCAGCAGCCTCGCAGTATGTGGCCCTTTTCTCCAGCCCTGACATGAATGAGACACACCCATTGAGCCAGCTCTACTCAGGCCCTGGGCTGCTGCAGCTCTGGGGCCTTGGGACCTTGCAGCCAGAAAGCTGGTGAGGTGGGGCTGGGACACTGCATGGGCAGGTGGGTGAGGGAGAGGAAGATGGGAAAAGGCTTAACCTGTGCTGCAACAAGAGCGGCAGAGCTCTGCCAGCCTTAGACCCCTGCTTCCTACTCACTGTCTCCACATGCCTTCTCTCTAGTTCTGGCAACAGGGCCCACTTTGTCTATGGGATTGCCTGTGACCACGGCTGTATCTGGGATCTCAAGTTCTGCCCCAGTGGAGCGTGGGAACTTCCAGGCACCCTTCGAAAGGTACTTTTAAGTTGACTGTGGGATGTCCTGGGGCTTGGCACAAAGGTCCTGGGAGTTTTCAAGAGTGAGTGGACGGAGTTTGTCCAATAACTCCGTGTCATATTTTCAGGGACCAGGACCTTAGAGGTTTTTCTGAAGGCTGCAAGCCTCAGTGCAGATCTGGTCTCACCCTCTAGGCTCCTCTCCTGCCCCGGTTGGGTCTCTTGGCTCTCGCATGCTCAGATGGAAAGGTGCTGCTGTTCAGTCTGCCACATCCTGAGGCCCTGCTGGCTCAGCAGCCCCCAGGTGAGTAGCGCAGCAGGGAGAACAGGGCTGCAGTAGCTGTGGCCAGAGCTCAGCGGGGCCCATCCACCTGCCCGGTGCCTCCTCTGGGCTGTCTCTAGCACAAAACCTTACTGATGCCCCCAACCCTCATGGTGGTTTACTTCGTTTGATATTGAGCTGGGGCTCCTTCTGCAGGGTTCTAGCTGGAGTCTTTCAGCACATTACCTTGTGTCTCTGCTGTGTTCCCTGTTCTCTTTCCTCAGGCCTTTCTCCCTCTTGCCCATGTTAATTGGCTCTGTAAGAGCTGTCCCTAGCTAAGGCTGACAGATGGGGTTTGTCTCCCCTGCCATATTCTTGTTCCTGTTCCCTGATCTCAGCTCCTGAGATCCCACCACCACACATATACACGTAATCTCTTGGTTCTGAGTAGAGTTATAGCTGACGACGAGATCAGAGAAAAGTAGCTCCTATGTGTTTTTCAACAGTACTGAGTATTTACAGAAGTCACCCAGGTTTGAGCACTGACGGAGAATTGGGTTAAAGATGGAAATTAGAAAGTAAAAAAATGAAGACAGTAAATATAGATGTTTCCTTTGGTAAGTTTAGCTATGAGAGTGGTGGTCATGTGAATAAGGACAATTAAAGGTTTTTGTCTGTTGCTTTGTAGAGGAGCCACTAGGACTTGTTTACATGGGACTGTGGAAATGGTCCAGCAGGAAGAGAGCAAGTGGATAATGCAGAACAGAGGGATAAACAAAGAACAAAGAAAGTTCTGGAATGAGTGAGAGGGACGAGAGAGCAGAGTGGAGGGGTTAGCCATTCTTTCAGGAGGAAGAGTACCGTCAGGTGGAACAGAAGAAAAGATGGAGGCGGATAGCAGTGGGTCTGGAGTTTGAGATTGGAAAGTTACGGCTTCAAAGGATGAGGAAAAGTGCTTGTCTGAGGCCTGGGGGCCTGATTGGGAGCTCAGCCATTTGGATCCAAAGCATCAGCTACTGCTCTTCTTCCTTCACAGATGCAATGAAGCCTGCCATTTATAAGGTAAGGGAGCTCCTGCCTCAACCGAGGCTCTGTTGTCTTAGATTCTCACCTTACCAATTCCATAGTGAGCCGTCTGCTTCTGAAACATGCCCCATCCTGTGGGCTGACTCCTGATTCGAGCCTTCATTTCACACACTCTCCCTAGTCCTATCTCTTCTGTCACTGCAGGTACAGTGTGTGGCAACCCTGCAGGTGGGGTCAATGCAAGCTTCAGACCCCTCTGAATGTGGTCAGTGCCTTAGCCTGGCCTGGATGCCTACCAGGCCCCACCACCACCTGGCTGCTGGATACTATAATGGTAAAAAGCAAAATAAACAGTTATTGTTCTTTAAACTGTTCATACATTTATATAAAAAGAACCTTCTGATATATTCTTGGTTTTTGATTGTTTCCTTTCTTGGTTCAGAACTGGGTATTATATATAACTATAAATATTCAAACAATGTAAAAAAATACAAAGAAGAAAGAAATAAGTCACTAGGGCTTTTCTCCTCAAAAAAACATTGAGTAGATGAATGTAAGTTCATTGGGACAGTTCTCTAGGCATATATAAAGAAAGACATTAGTTCCTCAAAGAAGCTTTTAAGATTAGAAAGTTGGTGTGGTGTCACGTCTATAATCCTAGCACTGAGAAGGCTGGAGCAGGAGGATTGCCTTGCGTTAAAGACCAGCTTGAGGGGCTGGGGATTTAGCTGGGGCTGGGGATTTAGCTCAGCGGCAAAGCGCCTGCCTGGCAAGTGCAAGGTCGTAAGTTCAGTTCCCGGTACCGGAGAAAAACCAAAAAAAAAAAAAAAAAAAAAAAAAAGACCAGCTTGGGCTACATAGTGAGGTCAAAGTCAGCCTGAACTACATACAAAAAAGATTAAAAAGAAGCTGGGCGTGGTGGCACACGCCTGCAATCCCAGCTCTCGGGAGGCTGAGGCAGGAGGATTGTTGCAAGTTCGAGGCCAGCCTGAACTGCATAGCGGGACCCTATCTCAAAAAGACAAAAAAAAAAAAAAAAAAAAGAAAAGAAAGAAAAGAAAGCAAGGTGATAGATAAATAATATTAAGCAGTTGAAATTACTTTTTTTTCCTTTAAAATAACAGTTTGATTTTTAGACATTATCAGTAGCCTTTCTGCTAGGAGATAAGGAGATTATCACTCTTACCTTTCCTCCCATGTGATCTTCTTTTTGATTGTTTGGTTAGTTTTTCTCTGTTGTTTTGTTTTTTTGAGACAGAGTCTTGCTATGTATGTAGTTCAAGCCGGTGTTGAACTTAGGATCTTCCTAAACTTAGGATCTTCCTGAACTTAGGATCTTCCTGCCTTAGCCTCCAGAGTGCCAGGGTTACAGGCATGCACCATCACATCCAGCCTCTTTTTCTTTGTGGTGGCTTTGTTCTTCCATTGTCAAGGTGCATGCCTTATACTGCCCTGCTATCTTTAATACCTGAGGTGATTTGATGAGGGCCTCCACTAGTCCTCTTATCTTAGTTTTCCCCTCTATTACTGAATTACTATATTTTTATTACTTACCTGTATCATTGTTTTTCAAGAAAAGTTTACAGGTGCTTCATTCCCTGAGTTTATTTTTTTTATTTTTTTATTTTTTTCATTCCCTGAGTTTAGGTATAAAAGGTATTTTAACTACAAATATTTTCCTGGCTATTGTTTTTAAGATTTTTTTTTTTTTGTTCTTTGTCTTTTATATTTATCAAAGTTAATACTTTTGAGTACCTTCATGTTTGTGTTCTGCCAAATTAGTTTCTGTTTGTTTTCTTCTTGCTTTTGGCTCCTTGCCTGTTCTCCTTGTCTTAGAGCAAAGTTAGCAGACATTTTTTGTAAGGACCCAGATACTAATAGTTTTAGGCTTTGTGGGTATCTGGCCATTGTTGGAACCACTCAAGTTTGCCCTTATAATGTGGAATCAGTTTTTGGACATTGGGTAAACAAATGGGCACAACTGTTACGGTAAAACTGTTTACAGAAACAAGTGGCAGCTATTTTGGTTCTTGCACTGTAGTTTGTCAAACCTTGTCTTAAAAGGTTCTTTTAAAAAATATCTTTATTTTGATTTAATATGGAGTAGAGGTTACTAGGTACACTCAGCCTCTCATCTTTCAACTGCATATCTCAGGTTAAGCTGTTACTTTTTTGTTGATGAGAATTGGGACTAAAATATCAGGTTGAGTCTTTATACTATGGAGGGAGTATTAAGCAGTTAATTATGATCCCTACCTTCTTTTTCAATTGTAATTTGGACCTACAAAGGTCCTAGGAACCCAGAGAAAGAAATTAGACCAAAGAAGCAAGAACCTGCCTTTAAAGCGTATCTATCCCATCCTTACTTCAGGCATGGTGGTTTTCTGGAACCTTCCCACTACTTCACCATTGCTACGGATACGGCTCTCTGATGGCTCCTTAAAGCTCTACCCCTTCCAGTGTTTCCTAGCCCATGACCAGGCGGTGCGTACACTTCAGTGGTGCAAAGCTAACAGGTATGGAGCAGGAGATCTGTGGCAGGAATGTGAAGATGGGGAAAGACTGACTCTTCCACATTGGTTCAAATTGGATCTTTTCCCATATTTTCAGTCATTTCCTAGTCTCTGCGGGGAGTGACCGAAAAATCAAATTCTGGGACCTTCGGCGACCTTATGAACCAATAAACTCTATCAAGCGCTTCTTGAGTACAGAACTAGCCTGGCTGCTGCCCTACAATGGTGTCACTGTGGCTCAAGACAACTGCTATGCCTCGTACGGCAAGATGGAGCTAGGAGCTCTGGGGACAGGCCTTAAGGGTTGGGATGCAAATGTGGCAGGCTGTTGTGGGGAGACAAGGGTTGAGTTGGTTCACCGAAATAGTGTGAATACTGGAAGGAACTGGGGAAACAAAATGAATCTTAAGAAGGAAAACTATCTTTTATTTCTTTTTCTGGTACAGTTATGGACTCTGTGGAATTCATTATATTGATGCTGGTTACCTTGGTTTCAAAGCCTACTTTACTGCTCCTCGAAAAGGCACTGTCTGGGTGAGCACCTAACTCAATCTTTGTTACACAGGTCATTTTACTCCCTAGTGTTAGTCAAGAAGAGGCAGTAGTTTTGGATAGGAGGAGGAAGTGACAGTGTATGGTAACTATATTATCAGGGATATGGGTATAATAAACTTTTTTTTTTTTTTTTGTGATATTGGGGGTCAACCCCACAGCCTTTGCACTGAGCTGTATTCCCAGCTCTTTTTTAAAATTTTGAGAGGGCCAGGTATATAGCTCAGTGGCACAAGCGCCTGCCTGGCAAGCACAAGGTCCTGAGTTTGATTGCCGGTACCAAAAAAAGAAAATTTTGAGACAGGTCTTACTGAGTTGCCTGGGCTGGGCTCAGACTTGTGATCCTCGGCCTCGGCCTCAGCCTCTAAAGTGCTGAAGTTACAAGTGCGTGCCACTATGTCAAGCCGATAAACTCATTTGTGTGTGTGTGTGTGTTTGTGTGTATGTGTGTATATACTACTACACTCTCAGACAGTGCAGTCGTCAGTTCACAGAAAATGAATGAACGAATGAGTGAAATATGTCTCTTCCTATTAGAGTCTTTCAGGATCTGACTGGCTTGGGACAATAGCTGCAGGAGATATATCTGGGGAGCTCATTGCAGCTATATTGCCTGATATGGCATCGAACCCAATAAATGTCAAGCGACCGGCAGAGCGAAGATTTGTACGTATATGAACGTCTAACGGCTGCACCATCTGTTGGATCCTAATCTACATCCCTTCCTAGCTCCTGGTAGAGTACAAATTAGTACTCAGTCTCCCAGCCCTGATAACTACCTTGACACAGAATTGTGTGTAATCTTTCCTACCCTACTGCAACTGAGCACATATCTTCCATTGTGAAGACTTTCCTGCCCCAAACCAGTTTCCTCTTGGCTTTTATTTTGTGTTCAGTATTATAAAACCTAATCTCATGGTCTCCTTTCTAGCCTATATATAAGGCAGATCTGGTTCCATATCAGGACAATCCTGAAGGTCAGGATCTTTCTTCTGCTTCATCTGGGATCCCTGATCCTCCCAAGGCTCGAACTTATGCTGAAACTGTCAACCATCATTACTTGCTTTTTCAAGACACAGATCTGGTAAGTTGAGGCCAGAAGAATGGGCTTGACATTAGAAAAGGTAGAAAACTTTAGTCCTTGTAGAGTAGGGAATCTTTAGGAGTTCCAGTACAAAGATGTAAAACTAGGGAGTTGTTTGCTTCTGTCCTGTTCCGCCTCTGCTCTCCAGGGTTCCTTCCACAATCTGCTCCATAGAGAACCCATGCTGCGCATGCAGGAGGGAGAAGGTCATTCTCAGCTCTGCTTGGACAGGCTACAGCTCGAGGCTATTCATAAGGTAAGAGTCTTGTCTCTTATCTTCCCCACCTGTACTCATTTCCTCCAGCTTCAGACCTGTGATCAGTGAAATGGAAGACGAAAAAGCAAAATAGATAGCTAAAGAGCATGATCGCTATACCTCATTCATTGGCTTCTTTTCCCTACCTCTCTCTCATCATCATGACCCTGTCTTCCTGCATTGTGACCTGGTTTTTTTGCTTATGTAACTAAGACTTGCCCTTAACACCACTTGTGAGCCTCTTTTTATTTTATTTTATTTTTCTAGCACTGGGTATTGAACTCACAGCCTTTACTCTTTTGCTTTTAATTCTTTTCACAGGTACGTTTCAGCCCAAACCTGGACTCCTATGGATGGCTGGTATCTGGGGGGCAGTCAGGGCTGGTTCGGATCCATTTCGTCCGTGGACTCACCTCCCCACTGGGTCACCGTATGCAGCTTGAAAGTCAAGCCCACTTCAGTGCTATGTTCCAACCATCCTCCCCAACTAAAGGGCCTGGCTTCCCTCCAGCCAGCCATCGCCTTCTGTCTAATCCCTAGTCTTGGTCCTCACGGGACCCTTGGAATGAAGTCTGCCAAGAACAAATGGGCACCATGCTCAGAGCCATAAGAACTAGGGCCTTCTTGGACAGCGTGGTGCCAAGCCTGGACCTTTAGGCCTTCTTCCCCAGGACTCCTTAGATCCTCTTTTTTCCATAGACTTCTATGGTCACAGCCCCCTGCGGGTAGGGGGGCTCTCCCTCCACAAAGGCTCCTCAGCCTAATACTATTGCTCACGAGAAACACTCAGGCCAGACCTAGGCTTGGGAGTCAAATGGCTCATATTGAGCAGTTGTGAAGTAGGTAAAGCTAAGTAAAGGTACTGGGTGTTTTTGAGACCACTTGTGAGTGGGTGTTTGGTGAATCACAAAGAGTATTCACATGAAGGCACCTGTCTGACTGTATTCCAGGGTACAATGTTACTGTCTTTCCAAACTTTCTTTACAGTAACCAACACACAGGCCCAAGGGGAATTTGTTTGACTGAAGCTGGTTATAATACTTGTTTAACTGAGGGACACCACAAACACCCTATCAGTAGAATAGTAGCTTAGCTCTTACTTGCTCCTGCTTATGAAATATTCCCAATCACTGGTCATTTGACCCTACTTGAACACTCCTAGACGGTCATATTTTTAAAATCTTTCTTTATAGCAAGCCAGAGTATCTATTAATTTTACTCATGGGTGATAGGACATTTAGTTATTCTTCCTTGTGATTGCCCTTTTAAGTATTTAACAAAAGCTATCATGTGATTTCAAAGTCTTCTTTTTCCTGTAGATTAAATATCTTCAGTTATTTCAACCATACTTTCACACGTCATGATTTTTGATCCTTCATGGTATGGTCACATTGTTGACTTATTATACATGTTTATTTAAACTCTACAGGAAGTATTTAGATCCCAAGTACAGCAAAGTATTGTTATCTTGATAAAGTTCTCTTGTGGGATGCTGCACTCACAGTACCTATGATACTGCCTAAGCACAAACAGACTCCAGCTAGGTGAAACAGGCCTTGGGATGCATAGGAATACAGGCTGGGGCTGGGGTTGGGTGTAAAGGGAAATAGTTAAATGACCCTAAGAAATAGGGAGAAGGAAATAAAGGAAAAAGAAGCCAGCTCTCTGTTGGAGGGAGCAGAGATTAGTGCCTGCCTGAAACAAAACCCTTTGATACCCCAGACTGGTCATATATCTGGGAATAGCTTTTTCTGCCTGGCTTCTATAGGCAATTCATTCAATGTCAGAAATCTTAAAGAGAATTGAGTAGTTCAGTTCCTTTCTGTACAGAAGAGGAAACATCTGGAGGGAGCCCAGAGACCATAACCCACATACGTGCAGAGAAGCCAAGTGTTGTACCATCCCCTTGTGATCCAGCTCAGGTTATGCCAGTATTGTTGCCTAACACCCCCCGCTCCCCACCCCACCCCCCGCTCCCCATTACTGGGGATTGAACCTAAGGCCTTCTCACTGAGTTACATTCCTAATCCCTTTTTAACAATTTTAAAATTTGGAGGTGGGGGTCTGCCTAAATTGCTAGGCTGCCCAGGTGGGGCTTGAATTTGCTATCCTGTTTCAGCTTCCCAAAGTGCTAGGATACAGGCAGATGCAACCACAGTTTTGCCTTCTGAGCCAACAGGGAAGTGCCTTCTACAGTTTAGCTTGCTTTACAGAGCAGTCCTTTGACACCGCACAGCAGCCCCTGTTCTACTTAGTGCTGGAAAAGAAGAAACCTGGGAACTGGACATTGAGGTTGTAGGTTGTTGGGTGTGCTGTTGTTGAGTCTCAGCCATAATCTCAACCTCCAAAAGAAAAACAGTGATGCTTTCAGCTGTTGCTTTTTCTATAAACAGTTGCTCCCCATGCCACTTAACTTCTAACCCTTCATAATATATGCACTTCAAGCTCATGGTCCCTGCATTTTTCTACCTTTGTGCCTTTGCTCACACTCTTGTCTTCTTCAGAACTGTCCTTTTCCACCAACTTCGCATAAATTCTATTCATCCTTTTAAGATGCAGGCTCAGGGCTTGGAGTGTGGCTCAGTGATAAAGCACATACAGTACTTAGCAGGCATAAGATCCTGGGTTTAATCTCTAGATCCCATTTTTTTTTTTTTTTAATCCAGCTCCAAGCCCACTTATCCAGTAAAAAATCTTTCCAGTAAAAAATAACCCCCTGTGTTCCTAAGTGGGGAGGCAGGACAAATAGGTATTTTATGCAGTATTGATCCACTTTGTATACTTTGCATGTACTGCCACTTACTCCTATGAGGGTAGATATTGCTGCTTTACTTAAATGATAGAAGATGAGACTGAGAGATTAAGCAATCTGAACAAGATCACATAAGGAGGTACTGGCGCTGGAGTGGGTCCCTGACAGTCTGACTTGACAGTGTAACTGCAGCCTACCACATATGGCCTCATCTTTAGTAGGGTGAGTTCTCTCCTCTAGCATAGTGTTTTGCAAGAGATTTTTAGTTAAATATTACTAATTGAGTTCTCTTGCAACCTTATTCTGTTTCTGCAGTATTTGTGACTGGCTTCTCTTCGCTCTATCCCTGCCTTAATCATACATGAATTGAGTAAACAGGCTGGAAGTAAGCAGAGGGAAAGCCTGAAAGTGTCTCCTGAGGTACGGGCTCCTTGAAATAAGCAAAGTCTGCCAGCCTGATAAATTCATGAGCAGGAATACTGTACCATTTTCCACCATCCTAGGAAAGACATTTACTGTATTCACAGAATCTTGGGATACTAGAGCTGTAAAGGGCGGATAAGAGATCATCTAGTCCACTACCTCTCAAGACTTGTGGCCCCTTCACTGAAAATGGCTCTTTATAGCTAGGCGTGTTAGCACACACCTGTAATCCCAGCTCTGCAGAGGCTGAGGCAGGAAGCTCACTGAGTTAAAAGCCATCCTAAACTACATAGTGAGTCCCTGTCTCCAAGTGGGGAGAAAAGGGCTCCTTCTGGAAGTGTATGTTTACTTCTTGTGATAGTGGGGATTAAAGTTAGAGCCTTCACACTAATCTACATCCCCAGCCCCTTTTTACTTATTTTATTTTTTGTTGTTTTTCCAGTACCGGGAATCGAACTCACGACCTCACGTTTGCCAGGCAGGCGCTGTGCCACTGAGCTAAATCCCCAGCTCCTAATTTTTTTTGTTGTTGTTTTGGTTTTTCTCCGGTACCGGGAAGCGAACTCACGACCTTGCGCTTGCCAGGCAGGCGCTTTTGCCGCTGAGCTAAATCCCCAGCCCCTCCAGCTCCTAATTTTTAAGTATTTATTTAGAGACAGAGTCTGGCTAAATTGGCTGGGCTCAGTCTCTCATGAAATTCACACCCAGCCTAGTTTATGTTTTTTAAAACATTTGAGGTAGAAGAACCTGTAGCAGTGCTCCCCCTTTTAGCTCTCTTCCATAAATATTCTCTAGAATTGAGCCCAGTTTGAAAAGATAGTGCAACCCCCTTCGCAGATGAAAAACCTTAAGTAGTTTGAGCCTAGTGATGAACAAGGACACCCAGCGCGTTATAGGGCCAGCGCCTGAACTCCGCTGAAGTTACATAATTCGAAATTTTCTATACAAGTTACTGTTATGCAGCGTTTCTAAAGAGAATATTGTGGGCAAAACTAGTGAAGACGACAAATATAAACAAAAAAAAGCTCATAATTGAGGCTAACGGACTATAGAGACAGTAACGCGTGCATGCACCGAACTGTCACAATTCCTAAGCGTCTAGCACTGAGACAGTGAAGGTCAGGACCTTAGTTCTGGGGGCGTGGGGCGGTCCGGACCACGGTTGGCAGGCCGGACGCTCCGGGAGAGGTGACACAGGTGGGATCCAGGGGACGGTTTGGCTAACGGTCGCACCCCAAAGCGTGGCGCGCTCCCCCCGGAAGAGGAGACCGCTCACAGAGTGGGTGACGAAGCTGAACCGCCTTCCACTGGAATCAGTGCCTCAGTTGACGTTTATTCAGGACCAGGCGGGAAAGGACCCAGGGTCGTGGGCGGAAGGGGCGGGGCTTTCTCCGGAAGTTCCCGGCCCTCAGGTCAGGTGAGCGGGACCGCTCCGCGAGCTGGAGCTCGGGTGGGTGGCTGGTGCTCCGCGGTAACCAGTTCAGAGACCCGCACGCCACGTGCGACCAAAGCGCGTGTGACCCTTCAGGGCCCTGGCAGTGAACAGGCCTGTGTTTCTGTTGTGGAGTTGTACTCAGAAAGGATGCGGGCTAGTTCCAACTCAGTGTGAATCTGGGGACCCAGGCTCTGAGTGAAAGCGAGAATAATCATGACCTCGTGGGTGTCTCGGCCCGGGCGGGAGGTCCCTGGGAAGCCCCACTTCAGACCTGGGGTCTGGGGGTGGCTGCCACTGTGAGTCCATAGCTGCCCATACGTCTCTCCTCCCCAGTTGTCTAAGGCCACCCGCAGAGAGGGAGCTTTCCGGGAAGGATTCCTCCGGAGGCCTCTGTAAGACAGATGGAAGGGGAGGGAGTGGGCACAGGGGACGGCAGGCACCTTTCATTGCTGGTAGGGCAGTGGCAATGACCCTCTCCTCTCGGTTTGACAGGAGGCATGGCGCTCTGGCGGGCATACCAGCGGGCCCTGGCTGCTCATCCGTGGAAAGTCCAGGTCCTGACGGCTGGTGAGTGTCCCTTCGGGACCAGAGCAGGCTGATTTGGAAGGCAAAGTCACACTTTATGGCACTTCTATCATTACCTGCTTGCGTTTAGCCCCTGGAACAATTGTCTCATCCCAAGCTGCTCTGTTTTGGAGGGTGAGTCTCCAAGGCTGTTTTAAACGATATGCATAGTTGGCTTCCCTGTGACAAAAAGCTGAGCAGTCCATTCTTAAAGATAAAGGCATTGCCGTGGGAGGTCCCAACTTGGAAAACTAAAAGAATACTCCTCCTCTAATATGTTATACAAAGCACTTCCATATGCATTGTGTCAAAGTACCCCACAAAGGTCTGTGTATTAAAATTACTTGATTTTACATTGGTTCACACACCTGCTAAGTGCTGAATTCAACACAGATATTTTTGTTAATATTTTACACTAAGAAATAGACAAAAGAATGAAGACATGTATTTTCAGTTTAAACTGAGCGTTTTTGTGTCAGTATCCAGCTTTGGGACCCCCTTGAGCATCTGTTCCTGAGTCACATGTCCCAGGAGATGACCACTTTTTTCCAGACTTTTGTTTACATTGTTTTTTTTTTTGCATTTCTTACAGTTTATTACTCGTGTGTGTATCCCCAAACAATATACTTGGAGTTTTCACTCCAAATCAAATGATTGAGTAGCAGCCTCACAAAGGTAACTCAGAGATTTCCCTGCATTTTTTTTTTTCTTTTTTTTTGGTACCGGGAATCAAACTCAGGACCTTGGGCTTGCCAGGCAGGTACTTGGGCTGCTGAGCTATATCCCTGGCCCTTCCTGCATTTTTTTTACCGTGGTAAAAGAGGAAAGATGGAGGAGGTGGTGTAGAAGTAAGTTTTGTAGAGGGAAGGATCATAATGCCCCTGCTCCTCAGGGTGGCGCCAAAAGTGATTAGCTTATGATAGGGTCTTGCTTGTGTTTAGAGGAAGGAAATAGTATTCTAACGAGGAGTGTGGATTTCAGGGAAGAGCTGTTGGAAGTGCAGAGGAGCTACTGAAAGCCAGGGTGTAACAGGTAGCCTGTTACTGGGACAACCCTACATCAGCACTAGAAACTTCACTGCATAGCTAGCAAGGAGATGGACTCTTTTGCCCCTTGGTGGGCCGCTTTTCAGCCTCCTGTGCCCTAACACCTCCTGTCCTGTCCTCAGAATGTCCACCAGCCTGCATGACTCACCTGGCTGCGTGTGTAGTGACTCATGCTGGACTGTGTGGCTGTGATGGGAACCGACAGGCTGGGAATTTGCCCAGCCTCAGATTCCCTCAGGGCCCCATCCCTATTGCCAGATAAAAGATTCCCCCTCATGGCCATCAAGAACAGAAATGGAGGGGGCTGGGGATTTAGCTCAGCGGCAAAAGCGCCTGCCTGGCAAGCGCAAGGTCGTGAGTTCGGTTCCCGGTACCGGAGAAAAACAAAACAAAAAAAAGAACAGAAATGGAAGAGTAGTCCTTGTATTTCCCTACCAAGGGCTCTGTAGCTCACAAAGGCAGGAACTAAAGCTCCAAGGGGGCCCAAGTACAGACATGTGGCTGAACTGGAGTTCCTGTCTTTCCATGCTGGAGTCCTTTGGCTCCATACCCTCTGTCTTCCTAAGGCTGTGCTCAGCCCAGCTTAACCATGGAGCAACCTGTGGCCTCCTAGCACTTTGGAAGACTTTCCAAACCTTTTATAATTTTCCTTCCCTGCTACTCAGTGTACTTGGACAAAATTACAAATTAAGGGAGGAAGCGAATTTAGCACCGTAGGTTTAGACCCCAGCACAGTAGTTGCTGTGAGCCCATAGGAACACTCATCACACTAGATGATAGAGATTTCAGAATTGGAGTTAGAAGACCAAGATTTAAATTTCACAGCTATAACACTTAATAGCTGACTTTACAAGTCAGTAAACCTCTTTGAACTTCAGTGTCTTCATTTAAAACTTGAGTTAAGTTATATAACCTCACAGGATCAGTGTAAGACTGATTTTTTTTTTGTAGCGGGAATCGAACTGAGGACCTTGCGCTTACCAGGCAGGCGCTTATGCTGCTGAGCCATATCCCCAGCCCCAGTGATTTTTAAATGTATAATAAACTTAGAAGCTCAAGAGGCTGGTCCTTTGTGTGATCATTGGCAACCCAGGCATAACAAGCTATTCTTTTTTTTTTTTTTTTTTTTTTTTTGAGTCAGGGTCTTGCTATGCAGTTCAGGCTGGCCTTTAACTCACTTTGTAGTCCAGGCTGGTCTCAAACTCACAATGATCCTCCTGCCTCAGCCTCTGGAGTGCTGGGATTATAGGTGTGCATCACCATTCCTGGCCAACAAGTTATTCTTTTTATAGTGGTGTTTGGGTTGGTTTTGTTCCACTTACCATAAATCTGAACATGTATAAGTATCTCAGCATTGGTTTTGTTTGATTGTTTTTTTTTCTTTTTTTCCAAAAAGCAGAGCACGAAGCTTATGTGCAGGTACTTGGTTAGGGAGTAGGAAGTAATCCCACAGAGACTACTGGTTGTTCAATCCCTTGGAACGGACTGAGAACCTCTTGGATATATTTCTTAGAACAGTCTGGATGAATAGTCATTTCTGGAGAAAAGAAGAGAATCCATCAGCCTCCGTCCCACATTGGTCAAAGTTTCACCCCAGGGCCAGGTTGTAGAAGCATAGTCACTGGAGGCATCAGGGGTGAGGCCTCAGGTCTGGCATGGCCTGAAACAAGGATCTGTCAGGTTGAACTGCAGTAATGGCTGGAGCAAGGCGTAGGTGAATCAAGATCTAAAATGGTTCAACAAAAATGTGTAATACACCACTTTTGGCCAGGCCAAAGTCAGGAACAGGGCAGCCTGGGGAAAGGATGGCTGTGTGTTCTGCAAAGCCTGAGTCAGCCTTGTCTCTTCCTTTCTCCAGGCCCCTTCCAGTCTCCAGTGGGCTCAGGGCCCAGTTCCCTCTATCTTAGGCCACCTTGATCCTACCATAGGAGCAGCTAAGCCCCTGCAGTCATTGGTTTCCTTGGAGTCTGAGGTAAGCCAGGATATGAAGTTAGCAGGCCTTAGAGACCACCCAGTCCAGCCCCTGATGTTACTGAAAATGAAACTGAGGCGTCGCTTGGTCAGTGACAGAGCTGGCATCAAACCTGGGTTACTGGCTACTGTCCTGCCCTGCACTTCAGACTGAGACCGTTGGGGTCCCACCATGCTGAGCACAGTCCCCAGTCTGCCCTGAGTTTAGACACCTGACAAGCTGCAGAACCATCCATTTTGCCTTGTTTTCTAGCACTAGGACAGGTCAATAGCAGGAGTGAGCAGAGCACTCAGACCCATCCAGAGGATGTGCTCTGTCCTTTTGTGGCTGGGCTTCAGCTCCCTCTGGGCCCTGGGCTTGGTCAAGCCCCTACTGCAGCCAGGCAGGTAGTTAATGGTAGAGGCTTCTGAGTTGGCAGCACTGCCTGCCCCACACCAGTAACCATCTCTACCGGCCGACCCAGCCTCCTGTGCTCAAGGGCACACTTCCTGTCTTGGTTCCAAGAAGCCACTTCCTGCCCCTCTGCCTATCTTCTGTTAACACTTCATTTTCTTCTGTGTAGAGTCACATAAGACTCTGCACAGCTGGTCAACCAAGAGCTCAAGGATAGGGAGGCTGAATCAGGGAAATTGACAGTTCAGGGCCAGCCTAGACCACATAGTAAAGCCCCTGTCTCAAAGCAACAAAAATGAGTCAGGAGTGGTAGTGCACGCCTATAATACCAGCACTCAGGAGGCTGAGGTGTGAGGATCGTTGTGAGTTAGAGGCCAGCCTGGGCTACAAAGTGAGCTCAAGCCCAGCCTGAATTGCATAGCAAGACCCTGTCTCTAAAAGACAAAACAACAATAACAACAAAAATCCCACTGGAGAAAAAAAACAGTGGAGAAAAAAAATAGGGGAAATAAGGACCTCACCTCCACTCGTGCCTCATGCCTTTGAAGTGTGTAAAGGGGGGCTTTTCAATTAGTGGGAAGAGGATGGTCCCAAATAGATCTGTGCCTAGAAGAGGCAGGCTCCCCTCCCCTGCCCCCTGATCTGGTGGGGAGTGACGGTATGAGAACTGGCATCTACCCAGGGGCATGATGTCACACTTGCGCCAGTGTCTACTTGCTGGGCTCCATGCCCAGCCTGGCATTGGAGCATCACTGTCCAGTAGCCCTTTGCCCTGCCCCATCAGGACTCTGGGCGTTATGTGTCTGCAGGCCCCATGCCCCAACTCCCAAGTCAAAACACTAGAGGGGAGCCAAAGCAGTAGGAAATTCAGACCAGTCATGTCCAGGTCTCCAAGGGGCTGGGATGGTTTGGTTGTGTTTGAGCTCTTAGTTGGGGAAGGTAGGATGAGGATGTGAACATCTGAGTTCTTCTTGATCAAAGGGTCACTTGGGCCAGAAATGTAGGCCTTGCTCTTTGCTTGGATCATGCCTTAGACCATATGGAGTTACTGTAGGTCCAGGGGTCCTGATCGTCTGTGGACAGAAGGCAAACTCCTAGGTGCTATTGGTCTGAAATGAACAGACCTGGCAGGGTCTAGAGACCATATCCCCTACTCCTCCTCCTGCTGCCTTATTGAATAGTAACCTTCAGGCTTAATGGACACAGTTGGGGCCCAGTATCCATCTTTCTAAATGACCAAAAGCTTCCAGGAGGGTGGGGTCAGGGACTTGGATTTTCATTCCAGCTCTGCCTTTTGTGTGATTTTGGCAAGGCATGAAGAGTGAAAACACCTGCCTCTCTTTGACTGTTTCCCAGGAATATTGCTGCCTACCTTTCCCACAAGGTGACAAGGATCAGAGTTGGTGGAATCTTGGGGAGTAAAGACAGAAGTACTTTAGCTCAGGAAGCATCTTTGCTGTGTTAGTCACTTTCCTCATCAACAAGACAAACCCAGGTAGGGAGCAAGGCAGCCTCAGCACAGGCTGAGGCAGGATCAGAGGCCAGTGGGAGCCAGAGGCTCCTGCATTCCTCTTCCGCAGCACCCCCAATTCAAGGGAGGAGAGGTTTATTTGGGCTCACAATCACAGTCCATGCTCAGCAGGCTTCATAGCAGAAACTGTGGCAGAGGGGCATAGCAGAGGAAAAGCTGCTAAAGGTGTGGAGGCCAGAAAACAGAGGAAGAGCCTGGGAGGGAGATACACCTCCAGTGACCTGCACTGGGTCTCCTTTTCCAACCAGGCCCACTCTGTAATCGCAGCTTCAGCTACAAAGTCATTCATGGAAGAATCCACTGATGAGCATAGAGCCCCTATGATCTAATCACCTTCCAAACACATGAGGCTTTTAGGGGAACACCTCAGATCTAAACCATTACAGTGGGCCCTTTGGGGGTCTGGCTTGGACAGAAACCCCCTGCAGAAGAGGAATGCAGGAACCTCTGGCTCCCGCTGGCCTCTGATCCTGCCTCAAGCCTGTGCTGAGGCTGCCTTGCTCCCTACCTGGGTTTGTCCCAGTTTCACTCCCTACTGAGTCATCTCATCTCTCAAACACTGTCCTTATCAATAGATGAAGATGTGACAGCCTACCTCCCAGACATTTGACAATTATGTGTGAGAGTCCTTTGGTTTTTTGAGACAGAGTCTCACTGTAGTTTAGGCTGGCCTTCACCTCACTATGTAGCCCATGCTGGCCTTGAACTTGTGGTGATCCTTCTGCCTCAGCCTCCTGAGTCCTGGGATTATTGGTGAGAGACCTTTGTAAACTTTATTTTTTTGTTGTTTTTTTGAGACATGGTCTTGCTGTATAGTTCAGGCTGGTCTCAAACTCATTGTGTAGCCCTGGCTGGCCTTGAACTCTTGATCCTCCTCCCTCAGCCTCCTGAGTGCTGGTTTTACAAGTGTGCACCACCACTCCTGGCCTTTGTAAACTTTTATCACTTGACCAAAGAACTGTCAGACTGTTACTCCCTTCATGTAAGAAGTCCCTTCATCTGCTGACTATGATTTCACACACTTGTAATCTTAACACACTGGGAGGCTGAGGCAGGAGGATTGCGAGTTGCCAGCTTGGGCTACTTAGAAACTTAGCAAGGAAAAAAAAGGAAAGTGGGTACTGTGCAGTGGTATTGTGGAGGAAGTGCCTTTAGTCTTCTTCGGGTTACTTTTCCTTTACACATGGCTGTGGCAGCTCCCTGTCCTCCCTGGGAGTATAGCTGGTGACCCCACCTTTTTGGAGAGAATATGGGGAATGAAGTGCTGTTAGGGGTGTGGAGGGAGCCCTGAGTTCCCCATACTCCTAACACTCTGAGCACAGTGTTCTTCAGGCTAAGCTTTGAGTCCTAAACTAAGTGGCCTTTTTCAGAGCAGTCCTGTTGTCCGGGGTGGTACATTTGACATTTTTCCTTTGTTTATTTCCTGAGCATCTGCCAGGGACTTGGTCAGATGTGGTAGGCAAGAAGAGAACAAAAGTGTGTGGGATTCTATCCTGTTCCTTGTGGAAGTCGTGTCTTGACAGTGTTCGGGGAAGGCCCACTTTGGGAGTTCAGGGGGAGGTGAGGCATTGTTACCTGGACCCAGAGTCAGGGAGATCCAGAGCTGCTCAGTGCCCATCTGCAGCGCCCCAATCTCCAGGGCTGCCTCTGACAAGGCTGCTCAGGGACTCGCTGTGCAGAGGATGTGGGGGAAGAGCTGAGGAGTGAGTGCCAGTGCGGACGTCAGAGCTAGCTCCAGGCCAAGAACGGGGTTGAAGGATGTGTTTGTCCAGTGCTAATTGAGGGCACAGGGACAGTGGTGGCTTGAGGGGGGCTGGAGGGGCTTTCATTACCCACTGAGCTAGATGGGCAAGCTGGAGATCATGTGGCTTCTCCCGAGAGGCCCTGTATGTGTGTGTTTGCTCAACACCACAGTAACTAAATGGTGACAATTTCTGTCTTGCTTCCTGGGTGTGGGTGTCTAGGACTACTTGGCGCTGAGTGTTAGCGGGTATGTGGGAACAGAAGCCCTGGGGAAACTGGCTCTAATACCTGTTGTCCACTCCATCCAAGGGTATGAGCAGGGGAGCCTGCGTCTGGCTGATTGTGCTACTGCTAGCCAGGACTCTTCCTCCTGGGAACTCTTACCAGCTCAACCAGTCATCTTCCCTCATGGGGCCATTCAAGCACTTGTGTTTTAGAAAAAATTATCCCTGAGGACCCCCAGACCAAGGTGAAGAACATTGTTCTGAGGCTGACACTGGACTGGGGAAAAGAAACAGCACTGCTTATGGGTCTGTTTACAGTGTGGGATTGATGAAGAACACTGTCGTCCAGCACTGGCTACGTGGGATCCTAGCCCTTTGTTTCTACATCTCTAAGATAAGGGGTTTGAATGAAAGAGTCTGGTAGGGCCTTTTCATACTGACAGATAGGGTTGGGTTTTTTTTGTTTTTTTTTTTTTTGTTTTTTTTTTTTTTTTTTTTTTTTTTTTTTAAGGCAGGGTCTCACTATGTAGTTCAGCCTGGCCTTAAACTTGCCTATAGGAGCTGGGGATATAGCTCAGTGGCATAAGTGCCTGCTTGGCAAGCACAAGGTCATGAGTTCAATCCCCTGTACTGCAAAAAAAAAAAAACTTGCCTGTAGCCCAGGCTGACCTTGAACTCACAGGGATTCTCCTGCCTCAGTTTCCTGAGTGCAGGGGTTACAGGTGTGTGCCACCATGCCCAGCCAGATAGGGTTCTTCTTCCTTGGAGTTTCTGTCCTGACTTCCCGTTACTGCTTAATGTAGAGTTCTTGATTCCTGGTGTACTCATCCTAGTTTTTGAGAAGACATACATGAGGTGTCACTATCCTTGAAGAAAGGAGGGCTTTTGGGCAGCAGAAAGGGATTTGTCATTTCCCAGAATGAAGCCCTGGGACTCAGAGTGCCAAAATCTCATTGGTCAGTAACTTACCTTTTGGGAGATGCTCTGACATTGCCTGCGTACCCTGCACAGGGTCCCTGATGGGCTTGGGTGACATGATCTCACAGCAGCTGGTGGAGAGGCGGGGTCTGCGGGAACACCAGACACGCCGGACCTGGACCATGGTGTGCTTGGGCTGTGGCTTTGTGGTAAGTTCTGTCCACAGTGGGGCTACAGGGCACGGAGCAGAGGTCTTCATCCTCTGCCGTCCTGCAGTTTCCCCTGGCCTCTTCCAGCTAGGCCAGTCTGCTTCTCTCTTTCTGCCTTAGTGTCTGTGCCTCTCCCTGGGATTTAATCTCTGCTACCTGGGGGAGGAGCTTTGTTATATAAAAGGTAAGTGCCCCTCATGACATCCTGCTCCTATATCTAGGCTTTCCTTTCAGGGTCCTGTAGTAGGAGGATGGTACAAGGTTTTGGACCGGCTCATTCCTGGCACCACCAAATTGGATGCGCTAAAGAAGATGTTGCTGGACCAGGTGAGAGACATAGAAGGGAGTTGGGAAGGGTGAGCCTGGTGGGGGTGGTGGGGTTCTCACAGAGCTTCAATTTCTCTTCCCTAGGGGGCCTTTGCTCCGTGCTTTCTAGGCTGCTTCCTGCCACTGGTAGGGACACTTAATGGACTGTCGGCCCAGGACAATTGGGCCAAACTGCAGCGGGTGAGTGGCTCTCTCGCTGGCAAGCTGGCAGCCCCAGAGGAAGGAGGTGGGCAGAGGTAGAGATACGGGGAGAGTCCCAGGCTAGGGAGGAAGAAGAGCAAGTGGAGTGTGAGGCCGGAGTGTGCTCTGGGAACAAGAGTCCACATGGGACATTTACGCTTGGAGGTGGCCGCTGCTTGGCAGTCCATGGTTAACTTGTTCCTTCTCTGTCTCCTCAGGATTATCCTGATGCCCTCATCACCAACTACTATGTAAGAGCTGACCCCTCCTCCATGGCTTTCCTGCTTCCTGAAGTCCAGAAATGCCCCAGGATTTAATTGGGTTCTCCTGTTGGCATTGCTCTCATTCCCATCTGGGTGCTCCCCTTCTGCCTGCGTCTGTGTGCAGAAACGGGCCAGGGCCAGGCAGGGTGATGAGCCCTGATCAGCGAGGCAGCCAACTTACGTTCACCTTCTCTTCTTATAGCTCTGGCCTGCTGTGCAGTTAGCCAACTTCTACTTGGTCCCCCTGCATTACAGGTATGACAGATCCCTACCCCCTCCGCAAAGATCTACATTACCAACAACTGTAAGCAAATTAGACCCTGAAGCCAGCACATACTGCCCTGGTCAGAGCTCTTCGAACTCCCATGCATTTTATTCAGAACTTCAACCCTTTATAGAAACTGTCCCAGAGTGTTCCCCACTGACCTTGCTATAATCTGTACTCCTGCCTCCACAGCCCTGGGCTAGACAGAAAAATAGACCTAGCTGGGATTACACCTGTAATCCCAGCACTCTGAGAGGCTGAGACAGGATAATCAGTAGTTCCGGCCTACTCTGGGCAATTTAGCAAGAGATTTTTTCTCAAAAAAGGCAGTGAGGGCTAAAGATCCAGCTCAGTGTGAAGGCCCTGAGGTCAGTGTGTAGTAACGAGGAAAAAAAAGAGAAAGAGACCTAAATGTCAAGTAGGAATTCTGTCAGTTTAGTTCACTGCAAAATATTATTTTGCCCTCATAATAAAAGGTCATTGCTGAACCGCAATAAAAAATGGAGTGCAACTCAAGATGAGTTGTTAAAATGCTTGCAGTAGTCTTGAGAACAGGGAAAAATATGAAACTTTTCAGGCCAGGTGTGGTGGTGCAGTGCCTGTAATCCCAGCAGTTGGAAGGCTGAGGCAAGAAGATTGCCATGAATTTGAGGACAGCCTCAGTTACAGAGTGAGTTAAGGCCAGTTTGAACTACATAGTGAGAGCCTGTCTCAAACTCAAAACACCAAACAGGAGACAGAGAGAGAGAGACACAGAGAGAGAAACTTTTCAGAGAGGACATGGTCAAAATTTATATAACTAAAGAGAACACAGATTTATGAACCAAATCCTAAACATTAAGATCCTTTGTAACATCCTTTGAAACCAGATCAAGTTTAATTTAAGATAAATAAGGTGCTACTTTGTGCTATAATCCTCGCACTCTGGAAACTGAAGCAGAATTGCAAGTTTGAGCCCAGCACGGGCAATTTAGCAAGAGCCTATCTCAAAAATAAGAAATAAAAAGGGCTGGAATGTAGCTTAGTGCAAAGGCCTTGGGTTCAATTCCCAGTATGAAAAAAAAAAAAAAAAAGGCACTACTTTGCTGTGGTTGTATCTCAGTGGTGGTTTTCTTGCCTACCATGTGCAAGGCCCTGCCCTTGATCCCCAGCACCTCAGGGAAAAGAAGGTGCAAGCCCTGCCTTGGCAACTTAGCAATGTAGTGAGACCTTGTCTCAAGAAATAAAAAGAGGGAGGGATGTAGCTCATCCATGCAAAGCCCTGGGTTTAAGCCCTGTATTTGAGAGAGGGCCTGGGCAGGCATGTGATTGGCAGCCATGCCTGGAAGGGGAACTGCTGGAAGCAGTTAACCACTGAGGCTGTCATCCTGGAGGCAGAGCTTAAGGACAGCACCAGAATCTGAGCTCCTAGTTGTTTTCTAGTCCAGGGTGCAGCCCCTCCACTGGGGCTGAAGGAAGGAGATCCCTATCTGAAAATGCTCAGGGCAATCCCTCCTTTTCTACTGCACTTCCCTATGCTGTCCCTTCTCTGTTCTCTATCCTCCCTACGGGGTTAAACCCAGGGTCTTGGACATGCTAGGCAAGCACCGTACCACTGAGCTATGTGCTCAGCCCTTCTTATGTTTTTATTTTGAAACAGAACATTGCTAAGTTGCCCTGGCTGGCCTCGAACCTGTGTAGCCTCATCTGTGGCATGTGCCATCAAGCCCAGCTGCATCCTCTCCTTCACAATGATATTCTGTTGCTAGGTTGGCCGTTGTCCAATGTGTTGCTGTCATTTGGAATTCCTACCTGTCTTGGAAGGCACATCAGCTCTAACCCTGCCCCGCTGTATCATTCCCACTGCAGTGGCACACCATGACCCTGAAATGCTGTGTCTTTTCATAGTTTTACAGATCAGTGTCTGTGAGGTGGGGTTGCTGGTCAGAGCACTCTGCAATGGCACAGTTCACTCTGAAATGTACCCTGACCGCTTCTGAAATCAGGGAGGCCTTTATGATACATTCACAGGCACCTGAGGCCAGGGCTGCATTCTGAGAACGGTACCATTAGGCAGGTGCAGCACTGTGTGCACAGCATGGTGGTCCTTACACACACCTGAGTGCCATAGGTCAGTTCCTCAGCAAGACCTCTTGATGCAAACAGAAGACAGTAAACTCAAGATGTATGAGGCCGCTGCCTGCCTAACAGCCTACTGTTGTACAGTGAACTTTTTTTTAATAAGAAGGGGTACACTCTAAAATTATGATAAATACAAATACATAAACCAGTAACATCGTTATTCATTGTCAAATCTTACGTACTGTGGATAATTGTACATACTGTGCTTTTATACAGCTGGCACCACAGCATTTTTGTTTCCACTGGTATCACCACAGACACAGGAAGATGCATTGCACTGTGATGTTGTAGCAGCCACCGTGCCAGTCCAGGACCCACGCGTGGGTCCTGGGGTTTTTGGCTCCATTATAATTTTAAGGAGCCGTAGTTGTATTTGTAGTCTGTCATTGACTGAAGTGTCACAGCGCAGGACTGTAGTCTGTCACACCACATGTGTGGGATGCACTCCGTAAACATTTGTGGAACCACATGACCTTGTCAGCTTTACATCCACATACCAACAAAGGCCACTTTACCCTTTGCATAGACACGTCTGTTAGTGTAACCCTTCCTCCCTGGTATCTTTGGAGATCCCTCAAATGCTTTATATGTATAGTACTTCAGTTAATATGTTAATAAATACGTAATCTAAGCCAGGCATGGTGACACATGCCTGTAATCCCAGCACTCTGGAGGCTGAGGCAGGAGGATCATTGCAAGTTTGAGGCCAGCCTGGGCTACAAAGTGAGTTCAAGACCAGCCTGAACTGCATAGTGAGACCCTGTCTCAAAAAGATAAAAATAAATAAATAAATGAATGAATAAATATGTAATCTAGAACTGACAGAGGTCCTGAGTAAGACCTGTGAAAACTGTAACCGTGGCTGTAGCTGGAAAGCCCAGTCATCTTTTACAAATGCGGACCCTGAGGTCCATAAAAATGAGTGACCTATTCACGGCAGGAGTTGGTGGCTGAGTAGAAACTTGAACCCAGTTTCCTTACGTCTTCCCCAATGATCCTAACTAGAAGGCCAAACGTGTAAGAGTACTTCTGTTACTCCCAAGAGGAAAGTAGACCTTTGCTAAACTATCACTTCTGGTGAACTCAGAAAACAGAGGGACCTGCCTTTTGTGGTCTGAAGCTGGAGAGCCTGTCTTATATGGTGCCTCAGCTGCAAGGCTGTAGAATTTAGATTCTGGGTCTGTAACAAGGTCCAGGACCCTGGGAGACTTGAGTTGAGGCAGAGGCCTTTTAGTGGGATCCATGGTGTTGGCGGAGTGCCAGCTGCGCGCACCTGATTGCCTCAGTTTGAGAACCTGATAGGTAGTTTGGGCCCTAACCGGGCCGGAGGGGCGCAGCGTTGGCCTCGGAAGCCAGGGTCAGGACCACGGACAGCGTCACGGGCCTGCCTACAGTTCCTGAGCAGAGAAGTGGAAACCCCGGGATTCGCCCTGGTCACTACTGGCTGTTCTAAGCAGAGCTGTGGACACGCGTGGGTCCTGGGACAATCTTTATGGCCAAGCCTGCGTTCCACTCCGCTTCCAGCTCTGGCCCCAGGGACATGAGGTCCAATGTCCAGTGGAGCGTCCCTCGGGACTCGCACCCGGAGCTGCCGCTGTCATTGTTTCTACAATGAGTGCATGTTCTCCGCTGACGTCAGACGGAGCTGTCCTGGCGCTATATAAGGCTGGCGGCGGTCCTGGGACATACCCCGTGCTCCCCAAGACGCCTTCAGCCCGCCCCGAGGCACAGACCCTGGAGCTCCGCCTTGCACCGCAGACGCTCTCTGACAACCTGTGAGTGGCTCGGAGCGACCGACTATCCAGATTCCCTCAGCGCCAGCGAGCACCCTGCGCCCAGATCACCCAGGGCTACCCGCGGAGGGAGGGTCGGAGGGTCTCGGCGGGTCGCTGGGCGTGCGGGGGAAGGGAGTCGCTACTTGCGACTGTCCCGGGTGCCCCTCACCTACACTGCCCCTGTGTCCAGGGCCCGCGGCACCATGAGGCAGACGGGACGCGCGGCGCTGGTGATGGGGCTGCTGCTCTTGGCGCAGCTGCGCCCCGGGAGCAGCCAGTGGAGTGCGACGTCGGTGGCGGCGGCGGCCGGGGCCCGGGGCCCGAGTCTGCGGTGGAGCCCCGGGGCGCGGAGCCAGGGCGGCGGGGCCCGCGCACTCCTCCTGCTGCTGGCGGAGCGCTTCCCGCGCCGCGCGGGGCTCGCCAGCTGGGGGTCGGGAACGGCGGGCGAGCGGCTGCGAAGGGACGACCCTCCACTGTCCATTGACCTGACTTTCCACCTGCTGCGGACCCTGCTGGAGCTGGCCCGGACGCAGAGCCAGCGGGAGCGCGCCGAGCAGAACCGCGTCATATTTGACTCGGTGGGCAAGTGATCTGCCGGGTCTGGGGCGCAGAAACGACCCTTTCCCACCCCGGGGCTGGCCTGTGCACGACCAGAACTGACCCAGTCCCGCGGTGCGGAGCAGCCCGGAGACATTCTGAACTCTCTGCGTGAGAGAGTTCAGAGTTTTTTTTTTTTTTTTTAAATAAAAATGCTAAAGAGCCTTTGGTTTCTGTCGTAGGGGCGAGGGCAATCACAGCAGGGTGGGAATTCAAGGGAGAGGTGGGGCCTCTCCAGCGGCAGGAGAGACCCAGATGCTGAGGGAGCTCGGGGACAGCGGCTCTCAGCCAGGTCTCCGTGGGTCGCATCACCCCCCACCCGGTCCCAGAACTCAGGTCCGGGCACAGCCACACCATCGCCCTTCCCGTGTAGCGAGCCCAGGAGTCGGATCTGGCATCGAGGAAGTGCCAGCAGGGGCTCATTTCCCTTCCGCCCCCAACTGGTCTCAGGTGGAGGGCGGGATGGTGGCGAGGTCACCTGGAGAGCTCGGCGTGGGGAGCGGGCAGAGAAAGGAGATACGGGTCTGCCACTGGAAGCAAGAGTCCTTTATTGAAGCCTTCCCGGGTCGGGGCGCCGAGCTGGGCGGCGGGGTGGGTCTTTGAGCAAATTCTCTACCTCCCTGGTCCAGCCCGGGGCGTGCCGGCTCTCGGCCAGGGGTGGGCGCGGTTCAGTGCAGGCCTGTGCCGGGAAAGAAGACGGGGTGGACAGGTGCTTCAAAGAACAGGGCAGCCCCAAGTCCAGCTCACCGCTTTCCCAGCCACTGGGGTTTCTGCACTCCTTAAGCACGCAACCGATCAGATTCCCCAAAGCCCCCCGAGGAATGGATGGTGGGAAAGAGCGCGCACCACACGCTCTAGGGGCCCGGGGTGGGAGGCCCTGAAAAGGCGCGGGGCCGCCAGCGAGCCCTGATGCCGCAGCGAGGGCGACCCGCGGAGGAGCGGGCGCGAGTGCCCGCCAGGCTCCGCCCCAGCCCTCTCACCCTCTGGCGGTGCGTCGGGCCGCTCTTCCTCCTGCCCTGCGCTGCCCTCGTCCGCATCCAGCGCCACCTCTTCATCCTCTTCCTCCCCGGAAGCGCCTGGGCCGAAAGGACAGGTGAGGTGACGCCCCTACTCCTCGGCCGCCAGACCCGCCTCACCCCGCACCAGGTCCGCACACGCGGCCCGGCCTCCTGGCTCCGCACCGGGCTGGAAGTCGATGGTCCTCAGCATCTCGGCCACGTGCTCCACGCTCACGGAGAACTGCTCCATGCTCTCGTAGCCCGGCTCCGGCCGGCCGGCGAGTTCTACCTTCGACATTGTCCCGACCCTGCGCAGCCACAGCGGCTCAGCCCGCACCGCCGGGGCACCTTTCAGCCACTCCCCAGCCGGGGGCTCCGTGCGACTCCTTCCGCTCCCTCCCCGCCAGCGCTACTCACTTATTGATCAGCTCCTTGGCCTGCTGCAGGGGAGAAAAAGAGGGCGAAAGTAAGCGCTGGGCCAGCGCTGGCCAAGCCCCGTGTCAGGTTCTCTCCACAGCACTGCGTGGAGCTGGGGACGCGTAGCCCATTTCCTTGAGGAGACCCTGAGCGCAGCTAGGGCAGCTTGCCGAAGATTGCAGGGCAAGTAAGTAGGAAAGATTCGAATCTGGATCTCCAGCCTCTGCACGGTGCTGCTTCCTCCCACCGGGGCCCACCTGGAGGTAAAGCGCCATCTGCGGCTCCTCCATGGACTGGATGGCCGACTCCACCAGCTTGGAAGAAGCTTCCAGGTGGTCTCCGTACTGGCGGATGAGGCCTCGGACACGCTGCAGCTTCTCCTCCTGCTCCCGGGCCAGCGCCTGCAGCAGCTCGCCCTTGCGCTCCTCCAGCACTGCGCACAGGGTCTCAAACCTCTGGTTTAACAACTGCTTCTGCCTCCGGCTGTTGTCCTAAAAGACCCGCGGCAAGGAGGAAGGCGGGCTGAGACCCCATAGTTAGGACATCAGGATACTGGCCCTGCTCCCCTCTTGAAGCATTCACAGAGAGCCAAGGAAACTGACCTTACGGGGTCACCACTGTCTTAGGTGCACAGCCAGAATCTGGGCCAGATCTTTTCAGTAACAATAACAACATGGCATTTGTAGCTTCACTGGCTGCTCTCCCTATCCTTGACCCAGGTTTGATTTGCATTATTCCATTTAACTTCCCCAAAGACCCTATAAGGTAGTCACTGTATCATCATCATCATCACCATTCTATTTGTTTATTTTTTGAGACATGGTCTTGCTCTTTAATTCAGTTGATCTTAGCCAAAAGGTTGAGAAGCAATCACTCTATAATTCAGTCTGGCCTTAAACTCACAGCAATCGTCCTGCCTCAGCCTCCTGACTGCTAGGATTACACGTGTGCACTACCATGGCCAGCTCATTACCATTTTATATAGTTAAAAAACCCAACCCAACCCCAGAGAAGTTAGGTAACTAGACCAAAGTCACAGAGCTAGTGAGCAGCAGGGCTGGGATTCAAACCAAGCAGCCTGGCTTTCAGGAGCCCAGAAATTTTCTGGCCAATTTGGCCTGAGGTCAGAGAGAACTGCTTCTCTTTGGCCCTAGCCAGCTAGTCTCTGTCCCCCATCCTCCCCAGCCCAGGCTCACCTCAATGGTCTGGCACACCTCTTCCATCTGCGTGATCACTGCTTGCACGCGGTCATTGCCTGCCACCAGCATGGCGATGCCGTCGCTGAGCTCGCTCTGCCACACACACAGGCCAGCTCTCAGAGCTTGAGGACCTGGCCCGCGGCTGCACCTCTCTCACCCCAGCCAGGTACCTAGGAAAAGACAGATCCTCCACCCATCCTCCCATCAGGGCGTCTACAGAGATCTAGGAAGCACAGTCTTTGGATTCTGGAAGGAGGAGGAAGCAGCCCTCCCCCACCAAATGAGAAAGGAGGAGATATCTTCAACCATGCACCTTGGGCCAGACACCGGGCTTGCAGCTTCATCTGTAGATGCATGTCTTCCATCAGTTCTGAAACTTTCCCAGTGACATCCGTTCAGGTAATAGTGTATTGCCCCCACCTCGGACAGGGTCTCACTGGGTAGGCCAGGCTGGCCTGGAACTCCTGCCGTGCTCCTGCTTTGGGCTCCTGAGTGCTGGGGTTGTAGGCATGCACCACTGTGCCTGGCTCTCCATTCTCTTTATTCTCTCATTTTGGGAGCCTGGCAAGACTCATGCTACACCTTCTCATCCTTGGCCTTCTCACCTCCCAGGGCTGTGTCAGTTTGTGTTTAGTCCCCTTGTCATGTCTGATAACTCTCTCGCCAGAGAAATCTATCATTTATTTTACCTACTGAATGCTTTCTTTCAATATTTATTCTTTATTTCTAAAATCTCTATTTGGTACTCTGTCAAATCTGCATGGTCATTTTTTGTTACGGTGGTGATGATGGTTGTTTTTTTTTTTTTTTTTTTTTTTTTTTTTTTTGAGACATGGTCTAGTTAAGGCTGGCCTTAAGCTGGTGGTGATCCTCTTGCCTCAGCCTTCCAAGTGCTGAGATTATAGGCATGTGCCACCAAGGTCAATGATTGTAAGATCACTTCTGATATTCTGTTATTGCTTTTTTTAAAAAAACGTCTTTTAAAACCATTCTGCCAGGCCTGGTGGCACACACCTGTAATCCCAGCACTTGGGAGGCTGAGGCAGGAGGATCGCTGTGAGTTTGAGGCCAGCTTGGAATACACAGTGAGTTCAAGTCCAGCCTGAATTGCATAGTGGAACCCTGGGTCAAAAATAAATAAATAAAATAAAAACCATTCTATTCAAAATGACTTTCTGTTCTGTAATAATTTTAACCTCCCAATTACTCCAGGGCCTAAACTATAATTTTTGTTTCTGGGAACTTCACTTGTGGAGTACATTCCTTTGTGTATGGTCAATTGTCAGCTAATATTTTGTTGATCTTAATCTAAGGAGAACCTAAGGGCCTACTTTTCCTCCAGATTGAATTTCTGTCTTTCTGATGAAAGACAGGTGGCGCAATTGGCCATTTAGCGCCTAGGATTCCAGTTTAACCAGGGGTCTTGGGAGTTTTGGATGCAATGCCCCCACTTTTTAGGGTGCTAGTGTTGGTTTTCTGGGAAATGATGACCTTTCTGTGCTGATTGCACAGGTTCTGTCTTCCCTCGACTTCCCCCGCCCCCCTGCTCCGCCCTGAGGTCTTCTTCCGCCCAGCCAAGCCCATTTTAACGCAAGGTTTATGCAGAAACAGTTGTTCCATAGTGAGAGGCCCTTGAGAGTGCCTGGTCCTCCACGCATTGCTTTCATCCCTGCTTGGGACGGCTCTCAGAAAGAGGCCCTTGTATTCCCTCTTCCACAGATGGGAAACGCTGGGACTGGAGAAGTCAGGCAGCTTCCTCGGGGCCATGGCTGAGAATCATGGAGCAGGCACTGTTGCCCTGATCTGCTAGGCTTACAGCCAAGTGCAGTGCGGGGCTGATCTTGCCCTAAGCCCTGCTCCCTGCCCCCCGCCCCCTCCCCATGATACCTTCTGGCGTTTGTAGATGGTGGGCAGCGGGGCCACCTCACAGTCCTTGTGGGCCCCGAAGACCTTGCAGAGTGAGCAGGTGGGCACCTCGCAACTCAGGCAGTAGATGTTGATCTTCTCGTCCTCATGCTCCTCACACATGAGGTGCTGCTCAGCCTTGGAGTGCAGCGGCCTGCGGGGAGCAGGGAGGGTGGCAGCAAGGGTTGGGGCCAGGCTGGGTGGGGTGGGCCCTGAACTTGAGCCCCTGCAGGGCCCCTGCTGCTCTCTGGGCGCCTGCAGCCAGTGCTGCGCTTGGCTGGTGAGCGGCTCCTGCTCCTCATCAGGGGAAGAGAAGGCGCTAAGAAGCAGCGGAGCTGGATCCGAGAATGGCCTGTATTCTAGCAGTCAGGGATGTCCCGTCCCCCGGGACAGAGTCCTGGAGGGCTGGCAAGGTCCAGGGCCAGTGGCAGCCTGGACAGAGGGGCTTAGGGAGGCTCTCGGGCCCTTGGGGTGGCAGCTCACCTTGAGGACTCCTGCTTGTAAATGTCGATGATGTTCTCCACTAGCAGGTTCCGCTGTAGACCATAGACACCATGTCGGTCCAGGACAACCTCATGCCTGCACGACGGGCAGCGGAAACGGCCTCCCGAAGACACAGCGGTGGAGCCGCGGGATTGCCACA